TTTCCAAAATTTCATAAAAATCAAATTGAAAATAGACATTTAACATAATACAATTATAAAATACATACTCTATGATATTCTGGTAAAATATTATGAATTTGTTCAACATCTTCTTTTGAAATGCATTTAAGTATAAAACGACGATCCATTGATTGATAATAAGTTATATTAGATTTTGATGTTTCATTTAAAGGTATTGGTGGTTCTGTAAGTGAGTCCTTAAAAACAAAATTATCTTTATATAATAATTAAATAAAATTTACTTACTCGAAAACTACTATCATGTACTTTCCAATATTCTCGAAAAGCTCGAAATACAAGTGGACAATATTCTTTTACTTTGAAATGACTTGGCATCACTTCTCTAATAAAAAAAAAAATTCAATTACAAAAGACATTCTTTTGTTTATTTAGTAAATAAAGTAATAATTAAATAATCGCATTAATATTCACAAAAAAAAGAACATGACCTTAAAAAATTGAAAATAAAAGTAAGATAATACCTCATGTATTAAAATGTCAAATTGATTATAATCTTTCTTTTGAATTCAATAATATAATATGTCAACATAGTTCATCATTTTAGTACGAAGAAATATTCTACATATGAACGATCAATGTATTAAACAATTTTTTAGTTTAAAATTTTTTGACTTCATAAATACTTGACATTTACAAAGACAACAAAAAACGAAATTATCTTTTCATTTCGAGTGAAATTCAATTCTTTATAGGTTAGATGTATTCATTACAATCACACCATATAGAAAGAAAAAAGTATGTTTTGATAATTAACAATATATGTACTGATGATATAGTTACACCTGAAAAATAAATACATCTACTGATAAGATGACTTTTCTAAAAATAAGATACTTTTGAAATCTTTATTTACGAACTTGTTAAAATTTTGATTATCAATACGAATTTTAACACATGCTTTGAAATGTTCTGGCAAAAGCATAACTGGTATATTGATATTTTCTAATTCATGAATCTAAATAAATTAATATTATTCAATAGTTATTTTTTTTTTTGTTGTTAATTAAAACAATTACTTACTGTGAAATTAACACCCCACATCAGTACAGAAAGTAAGGGATCATTTGCACGAAATAATTTATGTTTTTGATGGCGTACTTTAAATTTTGATTTCGTTTTTATTTTATGTCCTTCCATTAAAGGCAATTTTTAGATTTTTTGTTTTTTTCTATCTATCTAAAATAATATGTACATAAACTACCTTTGTATCATAAGTTATGCGTTGAAAGAAAAACAAAAAAATGACAAATATCATCTATTTATTTCTATGAGAAAAGAAAAGAAATGAAGTAGACCATAACGATAGCAACAAAGAATATTGAATCATTTGTTTTTTTCGATGCTAGTTGGTCTTTAGAATGTGTAGGCGTCTACGTCTGTCTTAAGATACATGAATAATCAGTCAAGGTACATATATCAATGGTTTATTTATTGAAACCAATCAGAAAAATGAATATTATTAATTAAATTCGGAATTTTGATTTTTATTTTGAATAAAATTTTATTTAAATTACTAAAGAGAATAAATAAAATTATTTGAAAATAAAAACATGAATCTGCTTTTTTTTTTATAGATGGCAGTAGATATTGGTCAATATACACATTATGAAGACTTGATGTCGTCGGGTGTATAGAGAAATATCAATACGCAAACGGGCTAAGTCGATGTGAAAGTGTTCGCTGTATGTAGTTTGTGGTATTGTATTCTCCAAGATCGATCAGAAGATTTTATTATAAAGTTGGCTGGGTCTGTAGTACAGTTGAACATTTTATGGGAATGGATGAGCACAAAAAATAATAAAATGCTGAAATTTCCTTTGAGAAAAACAAAATAACTTATCACCATTGGCGTAGGATAGGTTTCATCTCCTTAAATCTGCTGTCCAAACTGGTTGAGGTAATAAATACGTTTTTGGTTTTTATTCTCGTTCTAAATAAATAAGAAATTCGGCTTTTGATGAGCGGCAAAAAAAATATAGTCTAATACAGTATATAGAAGAGTGCAAGACTGGAAGAAAGCTAAACAACGACCCAAAACTAAATTAAACGTCAATTGAGATCATTTAAATAATACAAGGCATATTTTCGATCATTAAAATTCAATTGGGCGATTTCGCTAGCGTTACTTTTGCCGATTTTTCAAGTATTGAAAATACATCATCGATTAATCTCTATATTTCAAGAACAAATGACACAGTAAGCACTAGTTTACAACATAAATCATGTTCTGTTTTAATGTAGATTAATACCAATGGGAATTTCATCATTATGAGAAACTCATGCGAACACGACAATAAACGACGTCGTATACAAAAGTTTCCTTTACTCGTTATCCTTATTGTAGATAGGAAAATACTCCTAAAATTGTTGTTGTGATTCCCGATATAGATTTTTTTGAAGCCCTCCCTCCCTCAAAAAATGTCCGTTTACGTCAGAATTATCAAAATCAGGATCAATGCATGGAACAATAGCTTGCGGTCGGATCTTTCATAAACAATCATTATTTTATTTTTAAATTCTTATTATACTAATACAAAATACGTCAAATGAAAAGTATCTAGCAAAGTATAGTTCAGCACATTTTTCTGCTACTAAGGAACTGTGCGAAAGAATTTTGATTCTGGTCGTCCTCAATTGCTATACATGAAGGAACAGAAGAGCCGCAAATTTTGACTCAATAATTATACTCCGTATATTTTTCTTTGAAAACCACAATGTGAGTTTCATAAAAATATAAAATCATCTGTTGTAAGAAGAAATTCAATTCTTTAGACAAACACTCATAAAATACTAGTAAAGTTGTCATTGAAGGCTACATATCATCTAATAAAAATCTTTATTTTCTTCTAAACTATTCGATAACGAAATATATGAATTTAATTTAATTTACCTTGCATAAGTCATGTGTCATTAACTGTTATAGTGTACATACTGCGTAGATCATAACTAAAACAATGTATGCAACGATAACCAAGTTCATTAAACGATTTTGAAAATAATTATCCGATTGTATTTATTGTTTTTGTATATCATGGAGCAAGTTTAGATATGTTATTCATATCATAATGACCATATTCACTGATAGGTTGTGCTAAATTAATACTTTTTAAATAAATATTCGATAATGTTGATTCATTGAATTTATTATTATTGAAGAATTTCGTACAACAATTGATAGTATTGAGCAATTAATATTTTTGCTTTTTTTATTCGATTTATGAATGAATATTGAAGATAATGCAGAGAAATAAAAGATTGAGAAAAATAAGGTTTTTTTTTTATGGATTATGATGGGTTAGGATTTGTTAGTGTTTGTAAAAAATGATATTTTAATGAAAATGAAACTGAATATTGTCTATAGATCATTCTTTCATTTGAAGAAATACTTTTGGCTATGTATAGTTTAGATAAAGAAGATTTACTAGTTGTTAATTGACGAGAATAACAAGATAAACGACATGGTATTGATACTATTTAGTTTTCAGATGCGAATGAATTAGTTAATATAAATACTACATTATAGACATTTACTATGATAATATTAGAATTTCGATCATAGCTGTTCGCTTCTGAATTTAAGTCCGTACTGCACTAGATTCTATTTTCATCAGCCAGGCTCCACCTCTCAGAGCAGTTGAAAAATAATATGAATGTTTTCGTAAAGGTCGAGAGCACGATCGAGTGTATTTATCATCGAACAACATTCATCCATTGTTTTATTAATGACGATCATCATATTACAAATGACAAATTTCAAGTGCAAACTAATCGGCATTATGGTGCCATTCAATGAATGCCATCGTAAACCTAGAACGATTACGGTTAGTTATATATCGTAACAGCTGATCTTGAGAATGTTCATGAAGAAGTCGTTCTTTACCCTTTCGATCTTCACGAAGCTATTCATATCATCTTTCAACTGTTCTAACAAGTGAAATTCGTACGTCGAAATCAAAGCACAGGTTTATCGTGAATAACTTTCGCTTGAATATATAGTGCAGTTCAGGTTTTATCGAAGTTTTTATATTATGACAAGAGCTGAAGAATGACAACATACGATAGAATTATATAGCACTGTTTGGACTATCAATATATATAGAGTAAAAAAATAGATGAGCTAGAATTATCTGGTTTTTGTCAGCTGGCAGTCTATACTCTCTAATAGTAGAACATTTCGAATCAATCCAATNTTGCTTATGAAGATAATTTTAATTATTCTCTGGTGAATATGATTGAAAAAGGGTCATCATACGAGAAACGAAAAGCAGTTTGTCGTAAATATGAACAGACAGATGGAGTTGATGTCGATAAAGTAATGGCTGAGCACGGGAGTCGTATCAATAAATCATATTCGTATTTCAAGGATAAAAATTTGCCGACTGACGAAGCAAAAGCTTTAGCGTTGTCTATTTCGTTTTACACTGGTGCAAAGAGTGAAGCATGTAATCGAGATGCCTGTCTTCTGGCTCATAAAAATCATGGGGATGCTATTAAAAAAAACAGAAGAAGAAAGGAATGAAGCAGCTATTATTTTGTACTATTTGGTCAAAGCACTTTTGTACATACCCTTTTACTGGGGCTATGTTACAAGAGCTTGCGAGCTGACAAGTTAAGAGCTTTCAGTCTACGTACCTGGTAGTTTAATTACTTGGATTCAATTTAGTAGTTCAAAAAAAGGTAAAAAAGCAGTTGATTCAACAGCTTTTTCAAACCGAAATACCCTTTTTAAAATCTTCTCATTAACTGGTCGTCCGCTTAAAGAATTTTCTAATTATCCGGAAGAAGATGAAGTTTTATTTTTACCTCATTCTACTTTTCTTGTCTTCAATCGAAAAACCTATTATGCGGAAAGAAAACACGTAATCTATATGCGACAGATCGAGCTAGGTCTATGCGAATGGTCGGTACTGTGGGTAGATGATCAAATATTTAATGAAAAATGGGAAAATAAAGATCACATGGAATATGCCGCAGTCAAAGCACTTGATATGAATGTGCATTGTATACCGAAGTCATGTACTGATAGTGCTCTCTCATTTCTTCGATCACCATTCGGACAACGTTTGAAAAATCGAGATACATTTCGTATTGTTACCGACATGAATCGTGAAAATGAAGCCTCCGTACACAATGCAGGCACACGCTTTATCAAAGCCCTACGAAAAATAGGCTTCAGAAATAAATGCCTAATTTTTACTAGTAATCAAACGACAACATGGCGAATCGTTCAGTCGGAATTAAACAAAATAGAACAAGAATTTGTTATTGTATCTTCTGAAGTTAATGATTTTCGGAATTTCGTCAATTTCGACCGAGTGCAAACACTTAAAAAACAGTCAAACTTCAGTAAGTCAACTTGAAGGGAGACATTCCTAACGCCGCCATACTCCATTAAATTGAAGATATTCAGAACTTTCAGGAGCGTTGATAAAATATACGAGAATCAGCACGATGAAAAAAAGACTTCCTTAAGTAATACTGAGTATATATTAAAATGTGAGAATTGTAGTTGATGTAACAGTGAGAACAGTCGAAACATTTGTTAGTTTAGAAATAATTACTTGAATTTCATGTATTTTTATTTTAGTCGAAGTCACCAGAACCAAATTATGAGTAGACTAAAGGCCAGTAGGCTATATTCAAAGTTTGCATGAACGATTACTGAATCCTAGGATAATGATGAAAGTCATAAAGATAAACATGAACTCATTTGTGTTACGAATCTGAAAGAACTATTTCCAGAGATCTTTTCTGAACGGCTTTCGGTGCACTTTTGAACAATTTGTTCAGTATTTCAACGTATCATATTGTAGGAAAAAAGTCAACCTTCAATTCAATAACGAATTTGTTGCAGTCTTAAGTTGAATCTGTCAGAAAAATACAAATTTCATTGGAAAAACTTGCCATCATAAATAGGATGATCCTAATCGACAGTGAACTATGCTTGATTTCGAGTGAAACCGGACGCTTAGTCACCAAGTCCCAGTATCATATGCCTGCTTTTGAATTCCTACCATTTTCGGCGTTTTCTAGTTGAAACTAGTAATACACTATTTACCAAGACTGGAAATACTGGAAACTGAAATTTTTGGCTCAGAAATTTTCTTCTGAATGAATCTAATTTCGCCTTTGATTGAATTATCAAATTTCGAAGAAATATTCATTGATTCTATATTAAATGATTTTTCGTCTCCCTTTGCAATATTTCTTGATAATATGAACATGCTTGAGCTGAAATAAAACTCCACCATGAATAAAATCGTACTGAGACCGTTTACTTCTTAATTTTTATCGTTGTCATATCTTATTTAGTCTCCCTTTTGCCTATGATTGTAGAAAATGATACACATGATAATCAAGCAATCACTACTACTACCGACGCATATTAAAGCGAAATTAGTGGCAAAAATGCTAGTACTTCCGCAGACATAACCAGTAAAATGATGCATAACCCAACAAATACAAATATTGACATCCTGTTTAGAAATTCTAGAATGCGACATTTGACGGATAATCCTCACAAATAAGTTATTACATGACGTGCACAGATGACTACAAGAGTCATACTAACACACTCACATCTGTACAGTCATATTCTTTGAATATTTTGAAGCGGAGTGCTCCTTTTAATAATCCAGCACATATCAACAATTTCTGAGTGAGACATGAATATAAAGAAAAATAGATAAATGTTTATAAGAGTACTAGAAAAAGGATGTGAATGTATAGAATCACAGATTGTGCTGGCAATGACTTAAAATAAATGTCATATCTACTTTTACTTGTTTGCTTCGCGAACTACAAATAAGTTTAAAACAGAATTTTCGATACTACTCAATAATCAAAGATAATACTCTTAGTTTCTATTCTATGTTGTAAACTCTGAGTATTTTCCTCAAAAGTACATGTTCAATACTTGATTCAATACTTAGAATTTTTTTATGTGTAGTTGTGTTTTGCTTATAACTGGCTCTTTCAATCCTGTTCATAAGTTACACTTTCAAAACCTTCTGCTGATCAAAGATTACCTATAGCATACTCATAAGCCTCCATTGAATGTACTTGCAGGATATATTTCGCCCACACAGTATGTTCTTATCATTTTGTTTTGATTTCAATCTATATATTTTTTATTTAAGTAACTCATATGTCCATAATAAATTAGGCGACACTGCGTGGATTCCCGCTAAGGATCGATGCCAACTTTGTGAAGAAGCCATTGATATTGAAGGTTCAGCAGTATCATCTTGGATGAGTGTTTCTCGTGGTGAAAGTGAATGGGCTAATGGATTTGTGGATTTTGGTCCTGTCACTGAAAATCTTCGTGATTTTCTTACTATGAAACTTGTCCAGCAAGAAAAACTTCTTAAATATCCATTGCGTGTTGTTTATGTTTGTGGATTAGATCATTTTAATAAATGTCTTTATGTTCAACTCATGGCACAACAAAATAACATATTATGTGCCGTAGTCTATCGTCATGGGTATGGCGAAGAACATATTAATCAATCAGACAAAACATCAGGAATCATTTACATTCCATTATCAAAGGAACGTGAAACAATGACGGAGATAAGTTCACCAGAAATTCGAGAATATTTTCAAAATCCAACCATCAAGAACTCAAATGTTGAACAAAATATTCATGCCAATGTTCGTGAATACATGAGAAAAAAAATATGGAAAAAAATAATCTACAATCATTATTGTTTGTTAAATCTTCATCAAAAGCCGAAAAGTTTAATTTTTAGTATTTGAAAGTGCTTCACTAAAAAATGCTTAATCATTCTTTTTTCAAATTTTATGACTTTTTATTCCGGTGTGTATTGAACTTATTAATAGTATCTTATTCGAAAAAAGATCCAATTATGAAACTGACAAAGATTACTCTGCTTCTATCTCTGTCATGATTTTACGTTACACAAGTTCTGGACTAATATGTATTGGTATTTTCTTGTTTTTATAATAGTTTTCATGCATTTTAAGGAATACTTGAGGGTATGTGTGGGTGTGGGTGTGGTTTATGAAAAAAAACATCTAACACCCATACCCATACTCACACCCACACACTGCTTGCGATCAGGGTTTAATGAGGCAGACACGCACACAAAATATCAGTTCAAAGTTATGAAATATAATACCACTTCAAGGATGATACCTACTTTTGTCCACGACTGTACTTTACCACTTCCTAATACCTATCTTTTTGTGTTTTCACAGATTTATTTACCTAAACTTCTATCATTAATGCTATCCTGCTGTCGATGAAAAATAATACTCATTCGCTTTTTTTTCTTGAAACTAAGACACATTTATGTTTACTCGACAACAAAACGAAGAGCTTCGTACACACCAAAAAAAGATTTTTAACTAACCTGAGGGTGTGTGTGAGTGTGACTGTGGATATGAGTGTCGGTATGCGGTGTGGTTGTAGATTCTCCGTTAATGAATGCCCACACCATATGATTATCCATATCTTTTTTGTCAATCTTCGGGTATGTATGTGGCGTGTGGGTGTGGGGTGTACGTGTGGGTGCGGGTGTGGTTGTGGATATACGGTGTGATCGTAGATCCTCCGTTAATGAATACCCACACGTACACCCACACCTCACACCCTTCAATTCTCAGAGTTTTCAAAAAAAGCAACTCCTATGTTAGTCTGGCATGTTTCAACTGCTGATTTGAAAGTCAGCGAAGATTTTTTTCAAACATTTTCGAATAGGAGTTCACAGCGATCAGCATTGAACAAGATCTAGTTACTCTTCGGGGTGTGGGTGTAAATAATTATTTGACCAACTACATCCATCCACACTCACATCACACACCCACACCTACGCCGTTAAAAAAGAACTGTTTAGTGGACGTAGTTTTCGAAAAAGCACCAGCTCAATGGATTGAGAGCTGTCGCATGCCTAGTAACAGTTGAGAGTAATATGATTATTTATCCTAGATATGTAGTTCGGTCTATTTTTCAATAGTCTAGTATCGAGATGGAATCGGTCTTGAGTTTTCACAATTGGCGCCAATAAGAATCTGAAATGTGTATTAGTGTCGGTGCTATCTTTAGACAGTGTTATTCACTATAGTCAAATTTCATCCAAAACCTATTATTTTTTCTCTATGAGATAGCAGTAAGATCAAATAAAACTTTTGAATAAGTTTATTTGATAAGACCAAGAAAGTAAATAAGACACATCGACCGGTTGCTAATACTGATTTCATCTTTGGCCTAATTTAAAAATAGTTACTAATCTATGATGAGACTATCGTACATCAACAGAAAATGATGGAATTTATGTCAAAAGTAATGGAATGAACATATTCTTGTTTTTGCTGTTACTTTCATTTTCTTTTATTTATTATATTATAATAAAAAAGAAATCATGGAAAAATCGAAGTATCAATCAATATTGAGAACTACCATGGTTCACATTCTTTTAGTTTTATTTCAACATTAGGTGATTTGTCTTTATGCATTTGAATATCAATTATTTTAAATGCTGAATAAGGTAAAATTAAAACTTCTTCTTCATATTGAAATAATGATATATGTTGAATATCTAATGCAGTTCTTGGATTACGTACTTCATATATGCATATGGTACTTAATCGATTATCGTCATGAGGATTATCACTGAGAAATCTTAATGCGATATTCAATTGTTTTGATGACGATGAAAATGTTTTAGTTAGAATTCGTGCACCTATCTCATATTGTTTTAAATCATTATTAGTAATCATCATACCGCGAAATGCTTTTCCAGTATACGAAAATGTTTCGAATTTGGGATGACGAGCAATTATTCCGATATAATATGCTCGACTAAGATTTTCATTATCAGTTAGATTTTCAAGGCGTAATTGTGTCAGATGAACATTGAGTGCAGAATAAAACCCAGTTTCAGCTGTATATGCTTGTAATAAATAAACAGGATCTCTTTTGTTTATCGCGATCTCAAAATATTTTTTTACTGTATTGATATCTTCAATATGCTGTAAATCTTTTTCAATATAATTTCTTTTTATATAGTCAATCAATTTATAAAATTTCGGATCACGTCCATATGCTTCCAATTTTTTCCAATATTGATGTGCTTGAAAATCTGCCTTATCTGTCGGAAGAATCCATTCGATGTAATCACCAACAAAACGAGTTTTATTCATACGACGCCGAATCATCTGTTTTATTTTATCAGTTTTAGATTCATCCAATGGAGTACAATTATATTTATTGATTGTTGTATAACAAGCACCTTTTTCTAGTAATAATTCGACAATATCTTCATGTCCTCGATATGCAGCTACATGAAGTGCAGTAGATCCATTCGGTTCTATCTGATTAATTTCTTCTGCTGATATTTTTTGCAAATATTTTTTAACCAAACTGATGTCATTATCTCGGCATGCATTATAGAAATGGCTAGTACCTAAAACAGTAAATGATTAGCTTGCTAGGAAGTAGAAATTTGATGGACCTCACGTATATTTTCAAAGAAAAATCTGAGTGTAAGATTTAATTTGAAGCTTCTCAGCTCCTACTTCTCCTTGCACAATGGGCAGAAAAAAGGAGCAGAAGCAATTCCTACAATTACTGTAGCTAGTTACTTGATATCTCATGCAATTCTGCTGCGCACTTGATGCTGGCTATCCGTGCTTATCTAATCTCGTCTACTCGTTAGAGTGTGGGTGCTGACCTCCTCTTCTGCTCCATCCATACCCTTAATGTATGATTTAAAGTTTTTCTCAATATTCTCAGGCATGGTATTGCGGCCAGAACTTACTCATATCTACCCAGATGCGTTCCTGTATAGCCCGCAGTTTTCAGTCTCATCTTTAAGCCTTTCTATCTCATCCGAAGATGATATCCTCTCACTCTGAAGAAAAACTGAGGTTTCAACCTTCCTAAACTGGCTATTCCATATCTTGGGATCGATTCGTGGCTTTCCAAACCGAACCAAATTCAAACAAATCAAAAGCTACGACAAATTAATGAACCTTTCTGCATTTTACATTTAAAGGCCTTTCGTATGTATAAAGCAGAGGTTTGAATATGATCATGAAAATTACGTAGGCCTAACTGGTCCATAACTAACTATACCTCTCTTCAACCTGGCTGTATCTACCATGTATTTCACTTGTTCTGATATGTCTTTCTGTCGCAAACTGTGTTGTTTTTTACATGTTTATCTCATGAAGATATTTAAATTGGCGTAAATCATTATCTTGGCAACAGAGCAAGAAGATTTCATAAATGAAAATGAGATGATTAGAGAAAACATTTGTTAATTTAGTACGTTATGCATCTGTAAAGAATAGATAAACGACAACTATTAATGTTTAGAAAAAAATATTTTGAATGGGCTTGAGCAGCTAGTTAACGAGGACAAATCAAGATTAGCCATTCTACAATGATAGAAATATGAAGTAGAGGATCATTAAAATTAGTGTACAGTTTTATTAAGATAACAGCAACAAGAATTTTAAGCAGTGAACAGTAACTTAGATGAACAGGTGGGTATGAGTGTAGATATTTCCTTTAGACACTATCGCATGTACACCTAAACTCCACACCCACACACAGCCATACCCAATTTTACTACTGCTGTGCTCAGACTCGAACTCATACCTGACTCTGCTACCCGCGTTATACCAGGAATGCCATATACTTCTGAGGAAAGTAATGCTTTTTCTGGCCACGGTGTCCTAGAATGCAACTGGTGAAATGGAAAAGTTTATATGTACATGTATTCTGACCTGGCACTTGACGTTGGGTTTTCCATCGGTGATGAAGTAATGACAATATCCGGAGGGAATTGAGTAATGGGCAACGGATTATCCAAAATAGATGACTCTGATTGCCACAGTTGTCCTTCATAAGTGATCCACTTGCTCAAACAGCTAATAAAGTCGTAGGCATAGAGATGTTTCACCCATTTGTGAGGTAGATTTTTGAAGCTGTAGAGAGCGCCAGCCAATTGACCATAAATAGCGGCAGTGGTGTCCGTATCGTCACCAAGATTGACAGCATTGGCAGCACCTGTTTCGAAAGAGTCATTGTCGGACCAAAGCACCCACAANAAACTCTGACTAAACTTAAATCATTTCACATAGTACAACAAAGGAGTATATTATTATCTGACAGAGTCAAAAGAAAGTTAAGCAACACTATTTTAAAGCACAAGTCATCTGACCTTCGCTCAGTTACACTAGTATTTCGCTATGATTATCTGTACCTAAGTGCGTGCTAGAACTACTGTTAATTGGACATTGACATCACTGCGTATAATGTTTCATGTTTTATCTAGTGTTTTGCTTGATCTATGGTGTTCTGCCCATTCTCCGTACTTATTGTGCATTGCAATAATTACGTGTACTTATTTCAAACGGCAAAAAGTCAAATACACATTATCAAATGTAAGTTAGTAAAATAGAAGAGACACAGACGGATTGAGTCATCAGCCGAATAGGCATAAACAAACGTCAAGCATTGACTCCGTAGATCTAGTGTTGCTTTCGATTTTAATTATAACAGTTTGTGTACGTGATGAGAGATATCTCAAAGAAATAATGAAGTTATTTTTCTATATAATTGTATAATTTTATTTTATTGCTTTCATTCTTGAAATTACTTTTTGTTGATGATTGTCATTTGTAATCAGTCAGATACATGAGATTATCGAGATTTTTAATACAATTTTATGAAAATACTTACTAATGAGCTATAATACAGTATAAACTATTCAGAAATGTATTTCATCATTGAAAACTCCTTGTTAAATAAATTCGATATAGATAGTTATTTTATTGGACACTTGGTTATATTTTATTAAATAATTTTCTTAGCGAGATAAATGATCCTTCTCTTTATATTCATAAAAGCTATATATTTTTTTAGTGCACCCATATATTCATTTACTGTTGACGACAATCTACCTATATCACCGTATATGACATTATTCGATTTGGATATTGAGACAAAGTGTGATTTTGATTCATTAAACCTAGTTCTATCTTGTATGCTTAATCTTCGTCAATTTATTATTCAAATCACGACTTCATCAAGAATTTCACTCTCTTGGAGAGATTTTTCAGATGGCCAACATTGGCAATAATTGTTAACTAATCGCTTACCTCACATAGATGTATTTTATTTTTTTTATGATTTTGTTTATTGATTCAAACATCTCAATGTCAGATATGGACACTATAGTTCATTCATTTGATTATTTTGCAACAAAGTATGATCATTGGCATGTAATAATTAATCAGCAGTCACAAGACAATATCCATCATCGATGTAAGATAATCATATTGATTTATTTTAAAAATCTTAATTTATGTGTACATTGTTTAGCAAAAATAGTTAATTTACATGCGTCAACATATTCGAAAAAACCACGATGTCAACAAGATTTTCATTTATCAATAGTTCTTGGTACATTCGACATGCATTCAGCAGCAACAGCAGATGCACAACAACATGTCTTTTATTTTAATATCAGCGGTCTGCAACTTTGCGTACCATTGAATATGACACTTTGTAATAATCTACCAGGCTCTCCGCCATATCAAAATATTGATTTTCTTTTGATCCGAAGTGAACATTCGAGAACAAGTTTATGGAATACTTTGATGAAACTAATGAACTAGAAATTATTAATAATTGATAATTGGACATTATTTTATTATTCTTTTTTGCTTGTTTAGTTGGTATCTATCAAACTGATGATAAGAATGAACAAAGCGAACGTGTTGACAAAATTTCACGTCTCATGGATTTGAATCATGTTACTAGATTAGAATTCGATCGACGGAATGATCTATCTCAATTATATTTCATTGAACAAGTTTTGTTGTAAGTATAGAAATTATTTAATAAGAATGTTGCTACAATGAAATTTCGTGAAATAAGAAATAGATTTGATGAAACAATACTAAATATATTTCTTTAATAGAACAACGCCAAAAGTGGTTCAACTCACAATATCTATATCATTGTTTTTATCTCCGGTATAATATTTGATAATCCATCACTTATTCTTCCTTTCAGTCGATTACAATCCTTCGCTATATCAACTAAGCATGTGTATTTTCCCATGAAAAATGCATTCAAATTTGTTCAACAATTTCCATCACTTGTTCATATTAGAATGCGAGTTTTTTTACTTGATACATGTGTACCAATTATTGATATTCTTCTTGGTAATTTAACTAATTTGATTCATTTGAAAATATATTTTAACAAAAATACATTACGTAAATGATCCATGTTCAATCAATTATGTCGTCGAAAAACGTCGTCAAACATGTCCGCTTGATATATGCAAGAAAGATGAAATTTCTGTCAAAGTCGATACACAATTCTTAGAAATTTATCTTAGTGGTTGTTCAATATGTGCAAAGAAGAAATATTACATTTGAATAAATAGTCTAAAACTAAATTGTGTCTTTATATTTGTCGAACATGAATATAATATAATAAAAAATAAAATATGATTTCATTTTCTAGATTGATCATAACTTCCTATTTGTACTGATTTATATGCAATTTTGAAACCAGTGATTCATCTGTATAATGTACAGAATGATATATAACTTTGTCGAAGAATCTTGTCTTATTCTATCAATTTCATCTGTTTCACATATATTTATTTTACAAGAAAATATTAATATACTTCATTAATGTTTGCAAAATTCGAAGCAACATGTAAATTTAACCTACTTAAGTTTTATTTATTATATAAACAGACGAATAATAATTAGATACTTTTGCGTTCCAGATCAATAAAATGTTTATTAGAAAAAAAAATATATGCTTTGGATCTTTTCTTCGCATTTTCTTTACTCAATGGGCATATTTCATTGATTCTATTGCCAACTCATCAAATGATTTCTCTTTCACTTCAAAATTAACTATAATTTATCAATGTTCGATCGTGTATACTTCAATACATTTGTTCATTATCAAGATTTTCCAGTGTCGTTTAACAACTTGAAAGTCATACGAAGCTTAGATCATTTTGAATATCACAACCAAATCATGTATCGTCATGTGAAACAGTCCAATGAAAATGAGACAAAATTATCTTAAAGTACAAAGTATCTAATCTTCGCTTGGATAATTAGATGGAAGAGTAGTTGAAATTCGAAGAATAGGGAAAATAAAATGTAGGACTGCGACGAACATTATGATTTAACTAATCACATCGTATTTATTGATATTTCGACAATATTCTTTTGTCATCATCAGAATAAATACAAAAATTAATAATAAGAGCAATACAAAAAGACATAAGTTAAGAAAAAAGAGGGTATGGGTGTTCAGTTTCTCTTGATCCATACACACACCCACACCCTCACCGATATCCGCACTCACGCCCATATTCACACCCACACCCCATAGTGAATAATACAATGGTTAGAACAGATATTTCTAATTGGTAACAATGCATAGTCATGTCGTTCAAGTTGAGAATGAATTCATTATCAATGAACAAATTCAGCATATCAAGTGACTTTTAGTTATTATAACAGAAATTTTGTAATTTACAATCTGTTCTGGTTTAGTTTCTCAAAGCGACAGATCGAACATCACTTTTTAAGTAGTTCATCACGAGCAAAAGATATTTTGTGACACATGAATGAGCTAATGAGTTTTTGAATCCGCCGTGTTGGTCTAACATTAAATACTTCAAATCAGTTTGTTGTTCCGTAAGTTTTTCTTTAACGTTGAGGAAAAATGATTTTTTTTAGAAAATTTTTCAAGAATAACGAGACTGCAACGAAAAAGAAATTGACAAAGACGCTTTGCTTAGAAACACTGCAAGTAGAAATCTCCTATGAATTAATAGAATTTCATTCGATGAATTCATGAGTTTGATTACAATATGATGTAGTGATCGTATATTTTCATCATGACAACTTCATATCTGTTCGACTACATGGAAGAATCAAAAATCAAATAGGATTAGCTCCAAATGACTGGCTAGTTATGACATTATTGTCATGCTTTCTTATTGAAGACAGTTCGATGCACTTGTTGTCAACAGGACTTCGGATTGTGATGATTAAATCAGACATTATATGAAGCAGGTAATTCATCTATGTCTTTTTCTATCTGTTAGCAAGAGTTGTCTCAAAGACGATACAAAATAGGCGTTGGAAAAAAATTTATGTTGAGTTCAGAGAACTCGAGTCTCTTCGCTTAGTATCTAAGTGTATCGTTCGACCACTTTCGATCATTTTTTATATAATACAAGGATAATTGGTTATCTGTCGTTATATCAAATAATTGTCATGGATCGTATTTAAATAACGTGCAGTATATTTTCATATTCGAATCCATTTAGCTTGTTGAACATCTGTTAGCTAGTATGGTGTTCTAATAAACGTTATAAGAAGCTGTGCTAAAAGTATTCGCCTATTAAATTTTCTTCGATCTATCCATACCATAATCTTCTACCAGCAGGACGTCTTGCAACACAATAACTAACTATAATGGTTGAGATGTGCCTGGATTGCTTCAACATGCTGTAAACAGCAAAAAAGACACTGTTTGAGAGATAGAAGGTCGCCACAATCCATGCTTTTATGTGAATACCATATTTTTTTATCAATTCAAGAAAATTTCTGAATGAAGAAGATTATTTCGCACATGTAACAAGTATTTCTCGAGTGTTCCAAAAAAATCGAAGAATAGAGAATAAGGCTGCTTCTATTTAATAAGTGGATGTTCAGTCTGTTTTAGATTTCTTGATAATAATGAATTTTCTGTTATTTGAATAGTTTGGTAATATTGAAAAGCGATGACATTTCAACCTGATAATAAAGTGTTCACATGCTTCTTAATCATATTCTTTCTCTTCGATCAATGTCCTAATAATAAAATATGGAAATCATTTCTCTTTTTCAAGACCTTCATTAAATATAGAGTCCGGGTGTCAGTGTACCCATCTAAGAAAAAGGTTGTCAGAAAAGAATAAAAATCAATTATAAGGGCACTAATATAATCTGATTTGAATCAGATATAAAAATGATTAAAAAAGAACACATCAAATGAAATCTGTCTATGAAGGCTGAAAAATATGATCACAATGAGATTTTAATAGTGCTATTACAGTCGATTATTAATTCTTTTTTTACATGAATGAGTTGTATCGTGTAGGTATGGGTTTGGATGAAGAAAACATCTATCTCACATCCAGATCCATCTCAATCACACCCCATGTCACACATCCATACCGATTTAGGTTTCTGAGGTTAGTTTTCAGGCTCAAGAATTTCAAAAGCCTTTCGATTGCTAAATCAACAATATCGATAACATAAGTATCCTTCGATATTAATTACGTTTTTGGTAGTAACACTAAGGCATTCTACAATATTTTTAGATTGTAAACGCCTGCATTGAAGAAAACTTAAAGGCTTCCGAAATTTTCGAAGGCCGAGAATATAATTGTGCCTACAGTTTACGAGATCGAAATGTCTTTCCGAAGCAATTATGAGGTTGTTCAAACGTTTCGAAAAAGTTTGATTCTTTAGGAAACAACTTTTTTTTAGTGTGTATGCTCGACTCTATACAGAGTATCACGGTTTTCATTTTTTTGTTTATTCCAATAAAAACGTCAGATATAATTAATATTGCACTGATCACTTAATTAGCTGTCAAAAGGTTTATCATGCATGCATGAGGATACTAACATGTTCTATGCATGACTGAACTTTAGCAAATATATAAATCTTCAGACGAATGATGTCAACGTTTTCTGCTCTGTCGCCTTATTAGATGTCAATCATCCGTTAGACATTTTTATATAATCTAGGTGTATGTGAGAGCTTTGCTACGAAAAGAAAATTATTATAGCTCAACGAAACAAATCGTGAATTTATTGAAGTATGGCAAATCTCTTTATACAGTGAGCTATTACGCGTTAACATTCAAGATGCAAGTAGATCCAAAACAAAATATTAATGATGCCAATAACACTCAACAAAACACTTCTGTTCTTCTAATTGGTGCATCGATGAGATCCAATATCTTACATGCACTTGGAGTACCATCATTCATTTGCTATGTTTTCGTCATCGTTTATATGCTCACTCACAAAACTCATCGTGCAGCACCGAATAATTACAGTCTTTTCATTACCTTCATTCTTCAATTTTTTTGTAATATGTAGGATATTCCATCGCAGGTATATTTTTATCAGCGAGGCAGAGTATTTTTTGAGAATGGTGCCTATTGCTATATGTGGCAATTTATCGCTCATAGTACTTGGACAATCAATCTGCTTTTACTAGCATGGGTTTCATTTGAACGTCATATTCTGATTTTTCATGATCGCCTGCTTCGTTCAAAAAGGGGAAATATATGTTTACATTATGCACGACCTTTAATTATTATTGCCTACGGTATGTGTTACTATATCTATGCCTATGGCTTTTATAAAGGCAAAAATCCGTATTTATTTCAACAGAATTATTGCAATAGTGCTTGTTACACGAATTACGTACCTATGATGCTGTGGAATAGAGTGTTTAATTATATGCTTCCTTCAATATGTACTACTATCTTTAGTATCTTACTTTTGGTTCGTGTAATATGCTCAAAACGTCGTCTTCAACGAGCATTTTCGCTGGCGAAAGCACAGTAGAATGGCTAATCAACTTCTCTCTATATCATTTTCTTAGTATTGTACTCTTCTTTCCGTATAGTATTGTCAGCTTTGTGAGTTTTGCTAGTTTCAATATTCTTATACCAAGACCAGTACACAATCTTTTCAGTTTCATAGGTCTTTTTGAAACCTTATTATTACCTTTCGTATATTTGACGTCAATAGCAGAAATTTGGACATTATTTAAAACCAAAATTCGTCGTATAACTACTCAACAACGGCTACAATCACCTTACCTCGAAAATAAGCATAATCTAACTAATAACTGTATCTTTGATGAAATTTGCTTATATAAAAATAAATGATGAAATTCTATTCTCATCTTGTACACGTCTTGAAGAATAACATAGAAACCAAAAAGTGTGGATGTGAGTGTGTGACTCGTGTATTCTCCTTTTACACATCCACACTCCAATATACGGTTAACTAGGGGCGTAACCAGAGGAAGGCCAGGTGGGGCTCAGCCCCATCAACGGAGTTTTAAGCCCTACCATGGTTAATTTGAAGTTATTGAGCTGTTAAATCAAAATCGACGAAATTCAATTAGGGCATTTTCATATAAATTTGGAGTTATTGACTTATTATCTAAATAATCAATCATTGGGTACTATAATTGATTTATATCAAGGGTGTGGGTGGAGGTGGATGAGGGTGTGGATTGTGGGTGTGTTGTAGAAGAGGAGACTCCAACCCACCCACAACACACTCTGACCTCAAGTTCATTTTTATTTTTATAACATAGTAATTGTAGAACTTTCGATCAATTGTATTTATTGAAATTTTATTTTGGAAAATTTTATAGCTAAGTGTCTGTTTCAAATTTAGAAATTTTAGTCTTATTTGAATTCTATTTTGAGATTTACTTCTACTTTTAGTACAACTAGGGGTGACTATTACCCAATAATTTACTTTGAATTTGTCACATATGAAAATTTAAATTTATATAAAGTTTTTAGATTTATTTAAACTTAGTGTAAATGAATAGAAATTCAATTTAAACGAAATAAAATTCAATTTATATTGATTTAATTAGATCTAAATTCATGTGAATTAACTGATATGAGATTTATATCTAGATAAATGAATTCAAATTCAATTTTATTTAGTTCGAATTGAATTTATAATGATTTAAACTACTGTAGATCTAAATAAAATTAACTTTTCAAAATGTACATATAATGTAAATTAAAATTTTTCATATATGAAAATTTAAATTGATTTTAAATTAAAATTTCTTAGAATTTATTTTTGAATTTATTGAATTTTCTTAAATGTAAATTGATCTCCTAAGTATAAACAACTGAGATATTAGAATACACAGCAGTTTTCTTTAATATAAATATAAAATTGAACATTTTCAGCAATAAGTAAGTTTAGTCTAGTAGTCAGTTAACTGCTTGATAATTGTAAGTATCTTTAGTCGAATCTACCGTAAAGCAGGAAAATAAAATAGTTAGAACGCGTTTCTAGAACCTTACCCTACAACTAATCTACATAATAATGTATTGAGCTTGAATGAAAATTCGCTAAAACAGGCATGAAGTATAAGAGAAAGAGAGACAGGTAGGAAATGAGACAGATTCAGGGGCATGACAGACTTGAAAATCATTTTTTTTTCTTCAAAACAATAACGCGTTCTCATTGGGAAAAACGTGTTTCTTTGAAACGTGTTGTTAAGACGCTTTTAGCGTTCTTGTGAAACGCGTTTTACCACTCAAGAGCTATTCTTTTTAAATAACGTTCTTAGCACATCAGAACGCGTTCTTTTTCACTAAAAAGACACGTTTTTTATATTGAAAATATGCTCCTGAAAGACGCAAAAAGAGTCTGAACAACGCGCTTTTTTATTTCAATAACGCGTTCGTGTTCGCTTTTTCCATGGATAGTGCACCTCCGCCATTATATGATTGCTTCCGCAAGGTTTATTGAATTCTTGAAGAGCTGATGCATTAATTGTATTTAATAAGTGAGTATAACATTCAGAATCTTCATCTTGTGAAATTAATGCCATGCCAAATGCTTTGAAATGACGATTGGCATCGATTAAACCAAAGGCAATTAGAGGTAAAGTATTCTATGTTAGTTTATAAATTGCATCAATTTGTAAAAATGTTGTTAATCGAATTTGTTGAAATAGTTGTGTTGTTGTGTGACATATTGGTGATGGCAATCTTGTTGTTGAATTTCGTTCATTTTCTTCATGTTTATGTGTGTTTCTTGACATAATGATTACTAATTGCATGGTGTTATCCGCCACAATAATTTTAATTTCAAATGAACATAATGGATATCTTCTGTATTAGCTGCATTTAAATGAGCATTTGCTTCGCTTTTTAAATCTGATCGTCCATATTCACAAATATTAGAATTTGTTGTTGCAAAGTCTTTTGCTTCTTCATATGATTTAGCGATGTGTAACAATGTCCATTCTTTACTAGACATTTTTACTATGTTATAGTTCCTTATGATGGGACACACTTTAAAAGTGTTTTTAGTTAATTGAATCATTCAGACCGGATAAGATTATCCTTTTTTTTTATTTAAGCTTGTTTAATTGATCAATCAACGTTTACGATAAGTATGTGACTTATCATAAGTCTATTATCCATAACTCATAACAGTAACTTGCTATCGCTCACTACGCGCTAATTAGTTTGGTGATCAATTGTATCTTTTTCTGGTGATCAAGAGTATATTTTCCCATGTATATTTCTATGAGAGTAGATAGATGATTATTGAAAATAAGCAAGTTGATGACATTATCAACTATAATTGCATTTACATTTGTGTATCGTTGATATATTTCTGCTTCTATTTTGCCTTTCTTCACATTAATCTATATGGTTATCGTTCTGTTTCTCATCCATAGTTTCATGGCTAACATCATATGGCAGGAGATGAATCTAAAAGTAAATGACGAGCTCTGATGACAAGTTGTGCACTGCCAGACTGTTATTGCCATTCGTCTTTCTCTCTCTCTCTCTTTTTGTCTTTAGTTTTTTTCTGTGTAGTATTAGAAATGGATGTTTCATTACTTTTAATAGAATAAAACATAGAGAGAAAGTAAAAAAAATAAGATAGTTTTGTGCATTGGCATTAATAAAATTCATCAACCGTCGACAATACGACAGTCTTCTTATATATTCAAGTGGGTACAAAATAAAATGTCTGCTGATTCTAATGATCGTATTGTGACTGCTGCTCGTTGGCTTTACAGAGAAACCTATGAGTTCGATGATATGGTTTATAAAAGTGGAAGCAATAGAGACTACATGATAGCTTTAATGGAAGTTGCTGGTGCGGATGGAATTTTGAGTGAAGCTGAGCGTCAGTGGATAGTAGGATTTGGTGCCGCTCTAGGTAAATGTCTCTTATTTTAAACCCAGCAAGCACTGATAACTTTGCTCATTAGGAGTTCGGCAAGTGCTTTTAGACGAACTTCAGACATATCAACCAAAAGGTATGGATGAGTTACTCAAAGTTTTCCACGTTGAAAGTGGTCACCCGTTTGCAAAGCACAGTGTATTGGCCTTAATTTATGATGGGTTTCGAGGAGCTGGTGCTGATCAAGAGCTTCATTCAAAGGAAGTGGAAGCTATATATGCCCTTGGAAAGACACTCGGTGTTACAGAAGAACAAATAAAACAATTGCATAAAGTATACATGGAAGAAGTTCAGCTTCGCCGCAAGCGACTCGACATCATTTTTCCACGTGGTACCAAAAATGCTCCAGCTGAAATCGACAGCGTATATTGAAAAAGTTATTTTATGTGAAAACTTCATGCTATTTCCTTGCTAGTAAAATAAATGTAGTTCACACTTATCCCATTTTGACGCTTTTTTTGTAACAGTTATTACATTTTACCTAATGAACAACTGGTCCCAATATAGTCCTGGGGATATGCTATCCTTCAATTCTATCTAAAATGTACAAAATCTAATCGAATTGAAACTAGCTACATAATATACGACTAGTTCCAGTATGCAAAAAACAATAACATTACATTTTGAAAATCGGATCACTATGATGGAACGGCTCAAGCATAGCGGTCGGAGAAAGAAAAAGACTATCTCTACATGCGAGCGTTTTTCCGTATGCGGTTCTGTAACGTCAGTTACGATAAGCCCAATTCCTTTTACAACAGAGTGTACGTGTTGTGTGAGTGTGATTTAATAAACCACTATTAATCACGCACGTACATTCATACCCTTGAAAAAGTAATCGGCAATAGTCACGATACGATCAATACAATCAGTAAACATTTTATTTTGTACCCACTTGAATATATAAGAAGACTAACGTATTGTCGACGATTGATGAATTTTATTAATGCCAAGGCACAAAACTATCTTATTTCTTTTACTTTCTCTCTATGTTTTATTCTATCAAAAGTAATGAAACATCCATTTCTAATACTACATAGAAAAAAACTAAAGACAAAGAGAGAGAGAGAGAGAGAGAGAGAAAGACGAATGGCAATAACAGTCTGGCAGTGCACAACTTGTCATCAGAGCTCGTCATTTACTTTTAGATTCATCTCCTGCCATATGATGTTAGCCATGAAACTATGGATAAGAAACAGAACGATAACCATATAAATTAATATGAAGAAAGGCAAAATAGAAGCAGAAATATATCAAAGATACACAAATGGAAATGCAATTATAGTTGATAATGTCATCAACTTGCTTATTTTCAATAATCATCTATCTACTCTCATAAGCATATACATTGACTAAAAAAACAGGAAATAGTTCTATTTTTGATTCATACTATGTAATGTGATCTCTGATGAGAAATGTATTTTATTAACTATTATATACAGAGATCAAGGAAAAAAGAGTTTAATTATGAATTGCTACTATGTATCACTTTCACCTTTATACAATATCCTTAAAATGTGCATTAGACTGATCAATTATTGATTTCAGATTTTTAATTTACTGCTTCAGCATTAATAGTCAAAGATATTAGTTCACTCTTTTGTCAATATCAAGTTGCTGTGTCTTTTTTCAACATCATAAGATATTCACATTATCATTCGGATTCCTAATCAGAGGAATTGATGGGAGTGTGGGTATGGGTGTAGGCATAGGCAAACGGTCTCAATACACACACTCATCCAAAGCGAAACTACAATTACACTCACTCCCATACACACCCACATCCACGGCAATGTTCGGCGAAATTTCAGTTGAAAATCATCATCTGAATAAGTGAATGTTCTATTTTCATCAATCGAAAAATTTCTAAAAACATAATTCATTATTCATATGATTTAAAATAAATTGTTCTTTCATCTTGTTGTTTAAATAAAATATAGACGGATAACAATTGTATTAGCTGGTTTTTTGGTTATATCTCTTATATTAACTATCGTATTCGCCGCTTTATATAGAGTTCAAGGAAATAAAAATTCGACTGTCGTAAACACAACAATAATCCCCACCACGGGTATGAAATATTACTCTGTTTATCTAAATGATCTATCAATTGCTTCTAGCCCAGACAGATACATGTGTAACTCCTTATTGTATTAAAGCAGGTTAGTTCTATTTCAATGAATTAGTTGGATTTTTTTTATTGCTAAAATTAAATAGCGAATTATTTACTTGAAAGTATTGATAAAACTGTTGATCCATGTAGCAATTTCTTTGAATTTGCTTGTGGAACATGATTAAAGAAGAATCGAATACCTCATGATGGTAAATTGATAATTATATTTTCATATTATTCAATATGTAGATATAAATTTTGTTTATTTTAGCTAAATCTCAAGGTACTATTGACATTCTACGAAATCAATAAGATCATGATATTGTTTGTAAATATGTACAATAGAATAATTCTTAACATTCAATTATTTTTATGAAATCAAGGATGTAGCAAGCTACCTGTTCTTGAGAATTTTTCGTTCAACTCTCGTTCTCGAATTCATTCCTCGTTGTGTCTCTCTGAGTTATGTTACTGAATGAAATTTATATCAATGATAATAGCATAAAGATGGGTGTGGGTGTGGATGTGGAATGTGGATGGATATAAGAGCTAAACCCATATCCACCCACACCCACACACCCTCTATGGTCAGTTATTCCAGTAGTAATTACTGCAAGTGATATGTTCTTTTTGAGATATCTATTTGTTGCAATGTTCTTGTGATTTAAAACGAATTGTAGGAATTATACGAAGTCTTCTTTATGTACATTCAACATTGGCGATTCATAAAGTCAAAGTTATTCGATTTTATCATGCTGAAAATATTTGTTCTAAAAGAATTCTATTATCATTTCGACGATAATAGTACATGAGTCAATTATTGGATTGAAAGTTGAACAGATCGTCAACGATACGTTTCGATTGGGTATCTTTAATATTTATTACTTTGGTTACTGTAATTTTCATAATGATTCGTGTAAGGGTGTGGGTATGCGTGTTGAACTCCCATCACTCACACCCACACCCTCCCTTCGGGTGATTGGATCAAAAGACAAATTTTACCAAAAAGCGTTTTCGACCGTGGAAAACAATTTGTAAGATTTGAAAATGATAGTAGAACACAAACTGAAGGATATTTAAACAGCCAAAATAGTGTTTTCGTTTTCTGACGCCAACACCCTCAGGGAGAGTAGAAGTGAAATTTGTCGGTGAAAAAAAATGCCTCAAAATATTTCAAATGCAAACCGAAGTCGACTTCATTTTAAAGGCTAATTCAGAATATGATATTCATTTTGATCCAATCGTCATTTTTGTAACTGAAATCTGTTAAATTCCAGGAAAAATCACTCATTCATGTTTTTTCTTTACCAGCTTGTTTTCAATAAAAATACATTCTTTTCATATGTTTGTGAATATAAATCTATGCGGTCCTACAACACTTCCAAGCACATTATCGCTCGAAAAGAAGACTCTTTTATTTTACAGATAGTAAAGATAAGGGATCATCGATAATATGTCGTACGAATCAAAATATTTAACATTTCTATTTTGATAAGACACTTTCTCATGTGAATAATATTTTTTTATTTCATTTTTATTTACAATATATCTAACTTCGTTTATTTACATATTTATAGAAATACAAATTGTTCGCCGATGGACAATTTTGCATCATGACGTTGCCATTTAGGAACAAAATAAATTGAAACATCTTTTCTTTTTGATATTTTCGTTTCAAAGTCATTTTGAGCCTCCATGGATATATTGCAATAGAGAAAACTAATACGTCGAATCGATTGATTATATTCGAGCATTTCAACAACATAATTGAGACAAGCATCAGTCAAATCCTTGTTCATGGAAAGATTTAGTGTTTCAAGAGTATTATTATCATTTTTAAGTACATTCATTAATAGTTTGACTGTTTGATCATTAATTCCGCTACTTTTAAGTCCTAAATGTTTCAAAGTATTATTTTTCTTAAACATGTCAGACAGATATTGAATGCCATTAATAGTGATGTCAGTGTACGCTAAGAAAAGTTGTTGAAGAGAAACCGGAGTAATTGAAAGTCCTTTGGTCAAAATTTCCAGACATTCATCATCGATTGGACAATCATCAAAAATAATTCCATTTATTGATGAACCATGGTTCAATACCCCAACTAAATACCTAAATGCTTCAGGGGTGATTCTTGAATTTTTAAAGATGATTTTTTTGCATTGATGGTGGTTATGCACGTGGTTCAGTACGATTTGCATTTCGTTGAAAATTAGGCGTTGATCACATATTTTGAACTTTGAACTACAATTGTATTTGTCAATTGTTTTTTGAAATTCTTCGCTGTCATATAAAATCCCATCTAGAAATAGAATAAACCTATTTAAATAAATAAAACATCATCATCATCATCAGCATCCAATGAAAACAACCGACTACATAGTCGTCCGAAAAATTTTATCATGCATTTTAAACTCACATGTGATCAATTCAGATTCATATCGGAGATCTTGGATTTTGAGCTTTTGTTTCTCGATGAGTGAGAGATATTTTTTATTTTGTTTCTCATGTTCAACATGTAGTAATCGTAATCGTTCAAAACAGCATGTAGCCAAATGTGACTCACTTTCTTCCCGAAATCCCATCCAAGGACATTCGTAAGCCAATGCTTTACAATAAATCAATTCTTTTGGACAATCTTGCTCTCTGTGAAGTTCAAATTGATCTCGTCGTAGCCATTTTTGACCACAAGCTTTACAATTAACTTGAATTCGATTGAGCATATTGTGGACAAATTTAGCGGTGATTGGTTTTATATCAACTTTTGTCCAGTTATCTTCACAAGAGGGTGATGGGCAATAATCTTCGTCCCAAAATGTGATGCATCCAATACAAAATGTATGCCCACATTTAGCAACGTGTGGGTCAGTAAATGGTAAATGACAAATTGGACATATGAGTTCGGGATCGACGATATCATCACAATCATATTTAATAAGCATTGTCGTCGACATTGACGATGATGAAAAATTTATATCTGGATAATCATACAACTTAATATTCATCTTATTTTCATCGAATTCATCGGACATTTCCAGGTACTCTTTCTCCTGTGTCATCATATAAACGAAAAATTCATAATGGCATAAAGTAAAAAGAATAAACTTTGTTGCGCATCATTTTTCTCAGACGGAAAAATAATTCTTTCTCTTTTCTTTTATATATGTGAACTTTTCGTCTAGTCGATCCTGCGGATAAACATCGACGAAGTAATTCATTTTTCGTTCATCGAACGAATCGATAAACAAGCTGCTCAACGTTAAGGATATTCGTCAATATCTTGTCGTTTATTCAATTTTTGACGTAGAAGAAAAGATATACATAAAATTGACAAAGTGTAACAAAATATACAACTATCTATATGAGTTATTTTTTATATCTGTGTCAATAGCATTTCATCGGAGTTTCTAACAACAATAAGTAAATTGTGTTAATACCTTCATCAAGTTACAATTTTTTTAAAATAGCTATTAAATGTTTCTCAAATAGTATATATTTATATCGCAATGTGTTATAGACTTTAGTTAGTCTAGTCAAAAACAGAGGTGTTATAATATGCTTGCATAACGGATTTTTCATTTGAATAAAGACAAGACAAATGTCTGTAATATTCTGCTACTTATCGTCGTTTGAAAACTTATTTTTTGACGTCAGTGTGATCTATGGTGGCATCGCCAATGAATGTTCATTGAAAAAAAAACGTTAAGGATATTATCAGTCATTTGGAGTATATTTTTTTGAACATTGTGAATGTATTAAACATAATCTATGTTCATTAATAGTGAACGAATATCAATGTAAATGTTTAGGAATTATTCAAAGTTAAAGAGTGAATCATTCATCAATTGCTTTTGTAGTTTGTCACTCTGAATGAGAAAATATAATTCTACTGCAAGTGCATTGAACTTTTTTATGTGATTTCAGAATATAAATACAATAGATCTAACACGGTATGATATAGAATTGTCGATGGTTTTGATTATTTCAAATAAATGAATCAATTCACTGATCTTGAAACAAAAAGAAATATGTGTAAAATTTGAAATGAATATCATTTATGTGCACAAAATTCTCGTGCCTTGAATAAAAAGTCATTCATTTGTTTTGTGAAATAGGTACTTATCGAACATTACACTAGTTTTTAAATTTCATAATCAATGAACAATGTACCAACAGTAGACATATCGTTCAATGCAGTTAGTTACTAGGGTGGGTGTGGGTGTGAGTCAAAACATGATCAACAGGTACACCCACACCCACCCTCTTAGGTAAAAATACCGTTATTCGATTGGTTGGTACATACTATGTCATAAGCCAAAAAGCTTTAAGATGCTTATCTTTTTACAGATTTTTCATATCTGACTGGAGTCGATCCTATGTACAGTCTTCGAACTCAGAAAAGATTTGTCAGTTGAAACGGTTCTCTCATCAGTACGGTTACTCTTGTGTTCTTCTCTTCAATTTTTTTACATTGATCTCGTTTCAAATTCTCTGCTTTATTTGTCACTGTTGATGAACTTTTTCTTTTTTGTTTGAACTTTTATAGGCGTTTATTTCCAGAAGTTATCATAAACGAGAATTGTTTGCTCGAATATGATCTGAAAATATAAACTTCTTCTGATTAACGATCATTGCTCAACACTTGTAAGAATTTTGAAAAAAAAAGTTGTTTAATCAAATTCTTTAGTTTTTAAAAAGTCAAAAAGTGCCCTCCGTTTTTGTTCAAGAAGAAAATTTCTCTAAGCTCAAAACTACTTCAGATTAAAATTNACAATAGTGAATGTAAAGACGAATATTTTTTTACAATAATTTTTACAATAAGTAAGATGCTTATAAGCAGAGGGTGTTCTTTACAAATAATAGGATGGATATAAGCGGAAAGCATTTTTACAATGAACGGGATGGGTAAGAGGAAAATATCTTTTACAATAATCAAGATAAAGATGAGAAAGAGATATTTTACAATAATTAAGATAATTGTGAGGAAGAAATATTTTACAATAAATAGAGTGCAATTGAAGAATGAGGATCAGACAAATATGTTTTTATGATTAATGAAGAAGAATATCGAGTAGAAGGTATTTTCCAAGTGAACCAGAAAAGTATAGTGCAGAAATATGTTTACAATAAATACGATAGATATGTGTAGGGAATATTTCTATTAAATAGATTGGGAATATTCTTACGATAAATAGAACGAGTATCTAGTGAAATATATTTTTACAATAAGTGAGAAAAGGTGAATATTTTTACAATAAATAGAGTGAGCTAGTTATTGAGGTGGTAATTTTAATACTTGTTTACTCGGTCGTTTCTTTACTAGTAGTTGTTTTAAACTATCGGTTAATCTATTAGCGTAGACTATATGGGTGTTATCTAATGGTGTTCCTTCAAAGATTTCATTCCATATTTGGTGGAAATTAGTATCGAATCGTGCCAATGCGGGTGTGTACGAAAAATGACATAGTATATCAGTTTTAAAATCTATTGGTCTTTTTGTCTTTTTATTCCATTGTTCATTTAATGTTATTTCTCTATATTTTCCATGTTCTTTACCTAATAATGCATCGGAAGATTTTTCACCAGTTAGATCTTTATAGAATCTAGTTATTTGTTGATCAACGAATTTTGGTGGATATTTATTTAGTAATAACATTATCCTCAATCTATCTAATTCTTCTCTAAGGTCGTCGGACTGTGAACAGATTCGTGTTAATCTTAATGCTGCAGCATACGGTATATTTCTCATAATATGTGATGGATGTGATGAATTAAATGGAAGTACATATGGTTGAGCCGCTAGTTTACGATATATTGTCGTTTTAAAGTTTGGAATATCAATGGTTACTGTGACATCTAGATAGTCTACTGATTTTCCTCCTTCCCATTGTATATTGATATTACGATCGGATCTATTTAATTCTTCAAGTGTATTTTTTATTTTTTCTGGTGGTAATTTTGTTGTTAGAAAGACATCATCTCTAAATCGGAAGTATAATTCTTGTTGATTCTGTTGTTGTTGTACGAATGAGCTTTCCCATTTTCTCACATAAATATCAGCCAGTACTTGAGTACAGGCTGATCCCATAGCTCCGCCTCTAACTTGTTTATAATATTTGACTTCAAGTCCAGGTAATTGAAGAACAAAAAAGGAATTGTCTAAGACATGTAGAAATAAGGCTTTTATTGTATTTAGAGATAGATTACATACTTTTCTATATCCACATCTGCCTAGGAACTCACATACTGCCAATACTGCTTCTTTTTGAGGAATCATTGTATATAGATCAGATATATCAAATGTGTATATGCTTGATTCCGAAGTTGTCTTATATTCTTTCAAGTATCTTAAAAGTGTTGTTGAGTTAGAAATTGAATATGGAGTATGCTTGTCAAAGATCGGTCGAATTTTCTTATCAAGAAAACTAGCTATTTTTGCTAATGGTGATTTTATACCACTCACTATAGGTCGAAGTGGTTCACCTATTTTATGATCTTTAGGGTTGTAATATAAATGAGGTAGTTCAGATTCTGTCATTGATGGTCTTAATTTGTCTAATAGTGATTGAGGCATTTGTTTAGTCGAAACTAGATTACGTAGAAATTTATCTGTTTTTTCTATCATTTCTTTTAATGGTGATGTTGGTACTTCTATATATGCACTTGTTTTTTTCATATATGCTTCTGATTTTTCTATATAATTTTCTTTCGTATCTGCATGAAACACTTTTGACTTGTCTGTTTGTCTAAAAATGATTTTTTCTTGTTTTTGAATTTTTTGAAAGTATTTTATTGCTGGTTTTAATGTAGGATCTCGTTGTGCTTCTGTTGCTATGCACTGTCTTATTTCTTCATCTATTCGTTGACAAAATTTATTTACAAGAGGAGGTTCTCGTCCAATAGTTTTAGTTGCTCTTCTCCATGCTTCAGCTACTTTGTCTTTCATTTGCTCTATTTCTTTAGGTAAACGTTCTAGCACTTGCTGTGGTGCCGGTGGAACAAATTTTGGTCCTAAATTTAGGATTCGTGTTTCTGTATCTTTCATTATGAGTGCTTTATTATTNCTTATTTCTTCATCTATTCGTTGACAAAATTTATTTACAAGAGGAGGTTCTCGTCCAATAGTTTTAGTTGCTCTTCTCCATGCTTCAGCTACTTTGTCTTTCATTTGCTCTATTTCTTTAGATAAACGTTCTAGCACTTGTTGTGGTGCTGGTGGAACAAATTTAGGTCCTAAATTTAGAACTCGTGCTTCTGTATCATTCATTATGAGTGCTTTATTATTTGCTTGTGGTGGAAAACTAATTCTAGTAAAATGTGGATGTAGCTTTGCTTTAGTGAAATTTAGATGGTTATGTGTGAGGGCGTGCACTAGTTTGCGCTGGTTGTGCACGCCCTTTTGTCTAAACAATTCAGCTTCTTCTTTGCGAGTTGATTGTGTCTTGTATGAGAAACATGACATATTGCATCGTATGGTTCACGGAGATGTTCTGATAGTTTTATTTTTAGTTCTTCGTATTGTTTATTGACTTCTTCTATTTCAATTATTTTTGCTTGTCTCATTAAATTAGTCAAATCTAATTTTGTCTTTCGAAGTGTATTTTTCCACTGTTCTCGAAGTGATTTAAGATGATTATTATCTATTTTCAGTTCTTTTGCATGTAATTCTAATTTATCAAAAATGTTGAGAGATGGTGGTGGCATATTTTCTACAAATCTCTTTTCAAGTTTATCTAATTGTAACTGAAGATTTAATTTTCTCATAAATTTTTCATGTAAGTTATATATATGTTGTTGTTCTACTGGTGTTCCTTTTTTTTCAATGTCGAATGTTGCCTTTTTCTTCATTTGATCTAACAGAAGATTGCCTAATCTTCTTCGATCACTGTTCTTTTTATTTTCAAGCGGTTTCTCAATTATATTTTGAATGAAATTGACTACTTGTGTCCATGTCTGTCTGATGAATGATGTCTGTAATTTATCTTCTCTTTCATCTTCTAGCATCTTGTATTTTTTTTCTAGAAATTCTTGATGTATTTTTATTGTTTCAAATGTACATCTCTGTTTCGTTTTTTTAAAATGGTATCGACATTCAATAGGTAGAATTGAAAAATTAAATGAACTATACTGTATCATGGGATTCTTTGGTATAACAGAGGGTGATCTTCCAAGTGGTGCTGGTGTCGAACTTTGTATTGGTGATATTATCATTGATGGTTCATTTGTTGTCAATAGGACTCTAGCTGGTGATTTATTTCGTTTCTCAATTGGGAACAGTGAATTAAAAGAATGTTGCTGCTTGTCATTATTCTCTACGTTTGGTGTCGAGTGAAGTGATCCTCCAACTAGTGGTTTGTTTGGATCTCTTGGTGGTAATGTTCGTCTAGGAATAATTGGTGGTGGTTGTCGTGGAGAAGGTGGTGTTGGTGGGTCATCTCTTCGATGTCCTATCTTTCGTTTTTGTCCTGGAGTTGGTTCTGGTAACCATTCATCAAAAATTTCACCAANTATTCTATTAGTATTGTTCAATGATATTAAAAATTATCGACAATAAATGTAGTCGTTTGAGTTTGCTATTACTTCGAACCTTTGCAGTGAAAGTTAAACCAGAATGAAGGAGAACTATTGATATCATTCAACACAAAATATAGTGAAATGATCTACGCACATTTCCGTGCAGGATAAGACTAGTGTGAAATTTTCGAAATCTATTTATCGACCAGAGAGTCATCTTGTAATTAAAAATAGTTTATTTTTACTTTTATTATCAGACTTTCAAGTCAACCTTTAACTCGAAGAAATTTACCAAAATAATTCGAACTTACAAAAAATCGATTCTAACTAGAATCGATCCATTGATAGCGGGTGCTTTAAACTTCGCCCTAGAATAGAAGGCCATCTACAAGCAATATTTTACATGGTGTAATAGAAAGCCTTGGACTTTATAAAAATCTTTTCTCAGAAATTTAGTGCAATTTTTATTTTTAGCATTTAAAAACCTGCCTCTTGAGCAAAAACCCAAGATTTTTTTTATTAAAATGACTTCTTTTCTAGCAGAGAAACTGAGTTTTCCATTAATTGATTGCTAAAATTCCCTGTTTGAATGCTAAAAAACTTTTTCAAAAACTCTTTTCTTTCTAGATAAATGCTAGCAAAAACCTAACCCATGATAGAATGCCATCTGTGAAAAAATTCTGTGACTTTTCATAATGCAAGGCCATGACCTTTTATTTCTGGAGAGAGGTTCAATCGAAACTTCCCTTTGATCTGAGCTGTATATCATGTTGGTGGCTCTGATATGTATCGCTATCAAGTAATATCGGAATCCATATCGATTAGGCTGAAATCAGTGATAGGTTATGACCTTCAAAATGACTCATTATTCACAACAATAAGAAAAGCATAATTGTCAAAAACTAATAAGTGATCTGGTTAATACGATGAAAAATTTATCGCAGAGAAAATTGCCCCTTTCGAAAAAAAGGTGCATAAATAAAATGAACTGTATTTAAATATTATAGAGCTTGTCACACTGTATCTTGTTGTATATTTTCTCTAGTTTCTTTTTATAAATAGAAAGTATTTAGTGATTAAATATCGATATAATTACAATATGTTTATCAAAAAGAAAATAGATTTTTGATATCTAAAAATATCCCGTTATGTTTTTTTTTTCTATAAGAATGATCATCATTTTGAAAAAAATGATGAATTATAAGAGAAATTCAAAGAGAAAACCATCGTTTTTTAATATAATTATCTTTAATTGATTTAATATTTTTATGAAAATCAAATTTATTGAAATCTTGAGTCAACATAAAAACAAAATCTAAAAATGAAAAAAAAATTCGATTGAAAGAAAAAAAACAAAGTTTTAGTATATTTTTCTGTTTGAAATAATTTAACTTATGAAATACATAATTCTTTTTCAAGATTAAATTTAAGACCTTTTGGACATGATAATCGTTGAAGAAAATAATCTAAAAATAAATAATTTAAATAAAACGAAGTAATTCAAATTAAAAAAAAATCTATGCGAACCAGCTTCTAAAAATCTACATGAAAAAAATTTGCCTTGATTTTTCATTTGTTCATCGATGAAATATCCCGGTGATCGACAACGAAAATATTCTAATTATAAAACGAAAGAAAAATAAAATTCTTTTTAAAAAACAAAAACAAAATCATCCTAACGTTTATTACACCGTGAACCCGACCATCCTGGTCTACATTGACAATAAATATAATCCTCCGAACCAATTGTACGTTGATTACAAGATCCACCATTTAAACAATATGATGGTGTACATGAACCAATCTTACCTTTTTTAGAAAAATATATAAATTTTAAAAAACATATTCAAATATTTATTGACATTTACTTGATATTTCACAATAATCTCCATCAAAACCTGATCGACAAAGACATTTTGATTGATATATTTTTGATCCATTAAATAAAGGACGAACAGCACATATACCAGTTGACATACATTGAATTCTATCACACAATTGACCATCTTCAATTATTTTATTAAAAATATTTTTATATAATAAATAATAAAAAAAAAAAGATAAGTTAAATACCGGCTCGAGTTTCACATTGACTACCAGTAAAACCACTTGGACAATAACATTGATTTGTCTCAGGATCTCTAACACCACCATTTGCACATTTTTTTTCATTTGGAGGTGTAACAACATTTTTATCTAAGATAATTCAAGAAAAAAAAAACTAATTTAGTTTTAAAATGATCTTGTAAAATTTGTACCGCATGGTTCATCTGAAAGTACATATTCTCCTTGTTTATCTCTACATATACATGAAAAAGATTGATTTATATCATTACATGTTACAACAGATGGTCCACTACCACATGGATGTGGAACACGATCACAAATTCCTTTCATAAATAAAAATAAAAATAGTTAACGAAAAATAAAATCAAAATAAACTAAAAACTTACGACAAGGTCGATTACGTGTTGTTGATTTATCTGGACATGTACAAAGAATATTACCATCAAAAGTATCAAGACAATGATAACCATTTATCGGTAAAAAATATGAATTAGGTAAACCTGATTTGTCTAATTTGCATGGATTTGAACCATCATTACACACTAAATTAAATTATTTAGTTTAATAATTTATATTTTGTATATAAACTTACATATGCAATGACAAATTTTAAGATATGTAAAGAAAAATACTATGCCAATAAGCATCTCTTTTTTTTCAATCGTTTACAAAATTACTAACGATTGTAATAGTATTTTATATAGAAAAATAATATTCACATAATTTTTTTTTCTATTTTAAATAGAAATTATAAGAAAAAAAGGGATTTTATTATTGTCTATAATACAAAATAATCTAAATAAACCTTGAAAGTAAACTGATCTTAAGAACGCCTTTTTTATTTAGTAATAAATAGATTTTATTTCGTTTTCATCCTTTTGACAATATTTAATGTCTCACCTTCAAACCTCATATCATTTTATCTGTTTTTTTTTTTTCGTAAACACAAAGATTTTAATGAGACTATTTTTAATTTTTGTTAACAACTAGATCTTTCTCTTGAAATTTTAATCGTTATCTTATTTTCGATATTCTTACAAAAATGAACAAACACAAAACAAAGAACAATGCTATAGATTACTTTTCATATAAATATTCATCGAAATGATGAACAAATTTTCAATAAAAATTATAATTTTTTTTTTTGATTGAAAAATTGTTCGTTTAATATGATTATGCTCGAAGTCTGAAACGAGTCAAGATTTCATTAAAACTTTAAGTTCCCGTTTGAGTTTATGTTTGTTTCATTCGGTTTTTTCGGTTGTTTCATTTTAATTGATTAAATCAACAAGAAACAAACGCGCACAAAACATTTATTTATTGAACATATTTTTCGAATAATTTCAATTAATTATTTCATTTGTGGGTGTGGGTGTAATGTGGATGTAGATTCTCTATATATATCGACAGCTATGCTCACATCCCATCCACACCCATATATCATCGATTTACTGAGAGAAGTCGAAACTTTTGAATCACCCTTTAATAACAACTGAGACTCTTTGAAATTGCGCAGAGGGTATTCTATTCGTGATAGCTTATGTTAATAAATGATAGTCTTCGAAAAGTTAAAGTACCTACGAACGCATCTTGGTCTTTCAGTTCAATAAGTAATTGGACTTATTTATCATGCTATCTTATTTCAAGCATTAAAATTGTTCGACTTCATTCAAGTCATGATCATTATGATAATAAACTTTTTACAATGTCGATGTTCATGAAAAGTTTCTGGGAAATTCAATGATGATCACGGTCATCTTTTAGATAAAGAAAAAAATAAAAGCACATACATTTCATGAAAACTTTATTCTTTTCGTTTTTATGATAACACTTTTCAATCATTTTCTATTTTTCTAAGGGTAACTATTATTTCTCATGCAATAAAATATCCTCCACAGATAAATAATACTTTGTCTTCATAAATTTATATGTGTTGGTTTCGTTATTCAACAAACAACTGTTAGTAAACCAATACAGACCTTAAATAAAAGTTGTACAGTGTTGCGCATCACTATACTCTTTAAACAATTCAATTTTGTAGACGGAAACATGTTCAAATACATTAGACAAGAAATGGCTAATGGTTTGACACATACAGACAACATAAACAATCATAAAATACAATTTTCAGCTGTGACATATATCATTTCGAATAGATTCTAATTTGAAAAACAAATTATTTTAACTAACTGTTCTAAAGAATAATTTAATTCATTACTGTTTATAATAATAAGAATAAAACATCATAGGAAAAACACAGTATACTTCTCTACTAAAGATATAAATTCGACTTCTTAGATTCTTTTTTCTATCTAAATTTCATCTAATACTATATAGTATGATTCATAAAATGATATTTTGTATTTTCATTGAACAAAAAAAATCTATTTTTTGTCGAGATTTTCTTTGAATATTTTACTTCGCAAACGAACGTAATTTATGCATGAAAAATCCATGATATTATACTCTGGTTACAAACATCGACAATGAATATTTATTATCAATCTGTTCTTTTTTCTTGTTCTCGTTATTCATGAATATAAATGACTTAAAATTTGGTATTTACCTTGAAAGAATTATTACTATTTAATACATAACACAGGATGACTACGTTTAAAAAAAAGAATAATCTAAGAGATTATGGTATTAGTATAAATTCGATTATTTGATATCATCGATCTGAGAATTAGCCGCAGGTAAGAAATCTCTCATAATATGGTTTCATACTTATATGGGCTATTTCAAGTACAATTGGAGGATATCCACCTTTCAATTTGGCTTGATTCTTTACAAGGGTTATTTTTTTCAACAAGTTCTTTTAACATAAAGATATGTAAAATTGTCGAGTCTTTCACAGACTATTGATTAATTAATCATTAGCAAATATCTCTCTAACCATAAGAGAAAAGAATCTGAAAACTTCACCATAGACTACATGACACGAACTGTATCTATAGTGAGTTTTTTTAGCAAGATAGAATTCAAAAAAAACTTCCACTTAAAAACCAGTTATCTTGAGATTCTATTAAATCACGAAACAAAAATGTTTGTCTCATAATTCTCATGGACAAAAGTCTCGAGTGATGATTTTTTCAGGATATCGAAAGTAACTTATAAAACTGAACTCTAGAAGATTTTATCATCCCGAGATACTCATCTTTTCACTTTAATTTAACCGTATTATTCTTACAGTACATTGAAATCAATCATTTGATTCAAAACTTCAAAATTTCCGAATGTATTGCTTGTTCAAGAAATGCAAAGAGTAAAACTCATCAAGTTGAAAAGATGTATATTTTCAACAGAGCAGTATAGTGGTACCAATATAATTTAATTGCTTCGTGTACATTGATATCAGTATGTAGTTTAATGAACTTCAAAACAGTATGCACAATACATTTGCAAATGTACCGTCTTGCTTGATTACTAAAAGAGATCTATGATCTGCAAATAAGAAGATTATGAAAATCTAATGTTCGATCTTCAGAGACAAACTGATAAATAAATATGAAATTCATCAATTAAAAAATGTCACATATTTTCATTACAAGAATTTTTTGGTTCACAAAAATCGACATAAAAGTTGTTGAATCTTTTACTGATTCTGAAATTCTGAAAAGAATGAATATTAATCAAACAATTCTCCTTATCATTATTCATGGAAAATAAGCTATTCAAATGCTAGTAACATTTATCCAAGAATGTTCTTCATACATCAATCAAAACGATGTTATGCTTACTATCAGTTATGTACTTCAAACAATCTCTTGTTATAATTGCAAGTATGAGGAATTGAAGAGTTTTATTCACATTTTTCTACCAGCTACATTTTGAATGGTATCTGACAAAAGAAAATAAATGGGGATAAATAAGGAATAATAATAAAGATATTAAAAAATCATGTTTTAAAACAAATGCATGCAATACATCCATATTTTGGCATTGTGATATTTGTTCAAACTATCGATGATGGACGAAATGCTTCTTGAATACTCTGATCTCATGATTAAAAGACTTTAATCAACAGGTGTAATCACAGCTGCAGAACTATGAACTATTGTACTTAGAAAAAGCATACCGATCGTTACTTTAGAAAAATTTCTTGATCTAACAATAACTTTCTCGAAAAATTGCAATATATTAAAAGGTCCAATAAAACTTTTATTTCCATACAATGAACAAACACATTGTTAATATGCAAATGATTCGAGTTATCGTCAATCTTGTCTTCCTATTATTTTAGTAATAGTCCCTCTATATTCTTTCTCTTCGTAACGACCTTCATTATACACCATCTTCACCTTCGTTTTTTTTTTAATCTTTTTCGAGAAATCTTTTTTTTTTCGAGTTCATATTCTCCATTAATGAAACAAATCAGGTTAATAGTTGTAAATTTCAATAGATTCATTCTGCAGTAGACCTTCTTTCAAATACTAATTCTGGTTTTTTTGAAAACAAAACAAATTTTATTCAAACAACAAACATCATTCAATCAAAGAGACAAAAATATTCTTCACCAACATATCAACATCACTTGTTTCCAGCATTAGTAACAGTTGCAACAATTCCTGCAGCAAATCCAAGAGGGTGTAGGGATAGATGTGGAGTGTGGATGTCAGTGTGACTGAAAGAATACACCCGCACGATGCTTGTAGCTTATATGGAAGTGTTATTCTTTAATAAAAACTCATCTTTTTATACAAGCGCATTGTCTAAGATACTGATAACCTTGGAAAAAACCAACAAAGATTGATCTCGAAGTATACAAATAACAAAAGAAAAGAAAAAAAAATTAATGTATGAGACACAGCTGCATTCAGATCATAGTGTACATCTGTTATACTATAGACGATCATCGTTGCACGAAAAGAATGATTATTTTTGTATTGCCTCTGTCCAATACATTCTTTTTCTCGTTCTGTTATGCGTTGATAGACACATGCAATATCTTCATCTTTTTGCTCCTACTGCATATTTATAAGATTTTTATTTACGTGTGTATCATGAGAGTAACAACATTTTTATGGAATATTCCTACTCGTTTCTCTTCGTATTACGGGGATGTATGATCTTCACCGAATCAAAGATTATAGAAAAGCTCATTTATAATGAATTCGGATATTAATATTGATGATCTCTATTTCGATAATGTTTGTTTTGACGATGAACATTACTGCCAGTGTTGCCACTTCGAGTAAATATATTCAACAATTGTATATGAATGTATAGATAATTTCATGCTCTATCGATTCAGCTAGTTTATAAGTTCGCCAGCCCTTCATAATACCTGCATATACTCATAATCTGCCGTTGTACCATATTTTTAGTTTTCGGTATGCATCCAAACTTTTCATGTGGAAAAGAAAAGCTGCAGAATTTATTTCTCAATAGTTGGGTGGTTGAATATAAAATTTTAACGACAATCTTTTTATGAGGTTACATTTCATGTAGAATCAACAATTAGGATAAAATTAAAATCGTTCGAGTTTTAATCTACAGTTTTGAAACTCATATCAATCGGTACTCTCAGTATTGTTTCGATAAGAACTAAGCTCTAGAAATTTCGAATATTAGATTTTCTAGAGCATCAAACGCTCTATTGAATGAGTCTTTCCTTAAATTTCAATCGATAGCATAAGAAGAAAGCAAACACTTGATTACAAAATTGACTCGTTATTAGTGCGCTATTTGGTTATAGGGAGAGACACAAGGGGAAATACTTTATAAAAAAATTGCTTTACTCGTGATACAGACATAAATCAAAATCTTACAAATATACAGTTGAAAAAAAACTATCTATACAGAAAAAAAAGGAAGTATTGCGCGTCATCCATGTGAAGCAAAAGCGAAAAAAATACATGCAGAGAGAAAACAACAAAATAATCATTCTGTTCATGCAACGTTGATAATGCGTAATATAGCACATGTACGGTATGGCCTACGCATTGCACTTTTTTTTCTTCCTATTCTTTTCTTATGTTATTTGTACATTACAGGGACAATCTTTCTTGGATTTTTCCACTATCATCAAATATTTCGCAATACGTTTGTATAAAAAAGACGAGTTTTTTTATTCAAAAAAAAAGAATCACTCTTCGAAACGAATAACAACAACGCTCTACGATAACACACATGGATAACCCATTTATTTTCATTCTCCTTGCTTTTTTCCCATTAATTACACAAAATTGGAAAAGGTGCGAAGTGCACAACGATAGTGGTTGGTGCATCAACAGCTGTTGTTGGGAATGGTGTGGACTTTGGTACACTCACTGCCTCTTATGTATTGCAGGGGCAGGAAATCATTGCTGATGCTAGTAATGATGTTATCATTGGTGACACTGTAGGATTTCGGACTGTTGTTCATGTTTTTGTCATATAATGCTCAATTATTTTTGTCTCTTTCATTCTATGATTTTTGTTCTTTGAATAAGAGATTTTTTTCAGAAAGTTTAAAAAAAGTCATAAATGCTCTTTGAAGGAGAACCTGTTGCAGAATTAGGCTGCTGAAATTTAAAATATTAAATTGATTGATCTGTTTTGTGGAAAAAGTTAGCTTTAACTAGAATTCATGTTTATATAATTCTGCAAGGAATGATAACTTCCTTTTTTAATGTATAAACCGACTGGTTTGTTGAAAAACTTATTTCAAAAAAGCAACATAATCAGATGAAATAAATAATGTTACGTCCTTCTCTGTATCGTGAGTCAGAAAAAAGAAATAACATTATAACAACAATAGACATATGACGATGATACCGGTCAGTGCCGTCTGCATGTTAAACATCTGATTGTTCACTCTAAAATAATAATTTTATCATGTGTTTTAATTATATATTTGAGAGATTTTATTTCAATTAGCAGAACTCTCTGCCAATTTCTTCTGAATCGTGATGTAGAAAATAATAGATTTACGATCTCTTTTGATGGAAACTCAAATGAATTTCTGAAAATTCCTTTAACTTTAACATTTACTAGAATTTCAACTGCGAAAATTTACGAGATAGTGAAGACAATTGAGGTGACGGAGGTAAGAGAAATTAAACAGGTGATACAGGAAATTCAGTCAGTGTAGGTAATGAGCTCTATGGATTCATCACACCGAAACATGCTTCAAGCATCGATGTCAATCGGCTTGTGAAGAATCCGTCGCCCTCACACGAAGCGTGGTGCCCTCGGAATGTGTGCAACATGGTGTGAGAAGATTTCGTGTTATCCTTATAGAATTCGATTTTGATGTTTTCAGAAGAAGTTTGGTTATTTTTCGTTCTTCTGCTCAACTTTTGGTTTTCTTTTACAGCTTGATGATGCATTTTTTCCGAGAAAACCGATGTAGCAGCTGTTCTATGCTCAGTCAAAATCAATCTACTCTTTTATTCGAATTGGTTTCTAGTTCAAGTAATTCAGATGAATTTCTTAGAAATCTATTCGAATTTTCAGGAAATTCAAAAAGGCATTATACATCCATTACCTAGTATAACTCCATTGCCTTCATTATCTTGTATATCTCCATTCAGAAGAAACAAGAATAGGATTCGGTTAATTCGAATCAATTTCTGGGAAACTCATTTCAAGTTTCTCGAAATTCATAAAAAGCACTCGATGATTTTTGTGAAATGAACAGTCTGATCTTTAGCATACGAAGGACAATTGCCAGATATCCGTGTAGGTGTGCGTGTCAGTGATGTGGAGACCAACTCACATCCACAGCCTTTTTACAGACTCTATTACTCAGATCCTTATTATAAACTTAAATTAATTTGTGTGATTCTAAATTACTAAACATAGAAATATAGAAAATAACACAATCATCACTGTTTGAAAACTTGAAGAGATCTTTGTCAATATTATCCTTATTGACATATTTATCATGAAGAAGTATTCATCTACGTATGCTTCCGCTTGTTACTCTTGTACAACTGAGTTAATAGAGAGCTCATATGTTTATCTAAATGAATGAGAAAAGTAGTCGTTTGCTTTCAGCTATTATTTTCTAAGCTTAAGATCACCACACAATATATCCTGCAATCACAATAACATTCCAACGAAGGCACAGAACGCTGGATTCATGGAAAAATTTTCGTACAGATTCAAATTCATTTTTTGAATATTTATCCACATGAACTAAACTAACTATATATTTAACTGCGTTTCAGTAAAGGCGATGCATTACCAGCAGCGTCCTGTGGCAAGCATTTTTTCGATCCTTTCAATTAAATAGCGTTCCATGAGAGAGACAGATAGCTTCTTTGAATCATTATATACCACTCATTTTCTTTTTTCCATGAAACGTTCATACAATTTTATGAAATTCTTGTAATGGTGTCTTATTGATTTTATACCTATACCCCCTACAATAAAGATAAAATAAATAAAAAGTATGAAATCCGAAATATGATCGAATTACGAAAACATGCCATGTCGAAATAATAATGCTCTCTCAGAGCAACACCTATCATACACATAAGACAGAAAAATGAGCCAGAGCATCACACTAATAGCAGAAATCCACCTAACAAAAATGCATCATCAATCTTTATCATTTACAAAAATATTTCACTTTATTATCAATATATTCTTATCATAAACATATTCATTTTGGTATGGGCTTCTTCTTTCTACTAGCGTGGACAATATACTTCCACTACTTTCCAACACAATTCCACAAATAAACTAATGATCTATTTCAACAAATCTACCTACGTAGAACAAACCAAACATTCATATTTTGTTATAAAGACAGGTGCTTGAGACGACATACAAACTTTCATATGCCGAGATAATCAAACAATTGTGTTTTATGCAGCAGCACAGCAATGCATCTAAACATTCTCTAGCGAAATAAAATAAATAATATTACTGCCAATTTACTTTCAAATGCTATTCTTATAATTCATCAAACAATGTTGCTCTGGCAGATCAATATTGCCACCGATCCGCTAATTTTCGTCATCGCAACATGGATTTGATCAGAGTTGTTCATTTACCTCTTGGTAAATTGTAATAAGCAACTTTCCTCTTGCATGTATAGCGCACGACATATGTTTCGTTCTTACACACATATACTGTGTACAAACGGCAGAACACAAAATAGAATGTGTAAGAACATGAAACATGTTCGTGTATCATACATCCACTAGTAGAATTGCTTATTATAACTTACTCAGATATCATGAGTTTGATTTTTATGCAAAAGACTGTTATTCCTCTTATCGTTACCAGTATTTCATTTGCTGTTCTATTTTCTTTCAATTATTTAAGTAAGAAAAATTTGATTACTACCTAAGTTTCATGAAAAATAGTTCGTATTGGAGCCGGAACACTCTATCTTATCCTTTATTTCTGTAATGATGATGGATATTTTTCAATATATTTCCAAATCTTTTTTTTGGACTATTATCCTCATTTGGAAGAGTAAGTGTCATTCTTCTGATCGACAAGAATATGATCTTATAGTGAGCACAATAACAAGAAATCAACGTTGAAGTGAACTTTTATGTGGATCACTGTTCTTTAATATTATTCTGATCATTTGTTGTACGCTTTTCTATAAAACGATATCTGGTTCTATCATTATGGCTATATTATTAACATGGGGAGATGGTTTAGCTGCTGTCATCGACGTTAATTATGGTAGGCAACGAAAAATCATGGAGCAAAGCCATTGGATGGATTATTGACTTATTTTTTGTTGGTGTTATGGCTTCAATTATTTATGTGTCTCTTTTTGTAGATTTTGAATCAATTCATTTTTTTGAAAATTTGTGTGATCTCTTTTGCTACGGCAATAGTAGAAACTTTAAGTCCATCTGATTTTGATAATTTGACTATACTATTATCTATCATTGTTTTATATGATTTTTTATTCTAACCGAAACTAAATAAAACATAGATTTTCATCTGTTTTATTCTAGCAAAAAACTAAAACTAAAAACTCTGATCAAATACATGGTGTAATGACGCAAATGAGCGGATCGGTGGCAACGTTGATGTTCCAGAGCAACATTCATACAAAAGCCTAATCGTAACAATAAAAATAGAATACGTCATCCTTGAGTGGATTGGTATGTGAGAAAAAAAAGAGTTGATCTGTGAGGAGAGAGTTGAGCGAAAGACTAATGTTCGAAGATCACGCTCAAGTGATCGATCAGACTGTCTTATGAATTAGTTACAGAAAGAATACAATCTTCTCTGTCGTTGTTCACTAAACTTCTCTCGAGGTAGAGTACATACCAATATCCGGCTACTGATCTCTGAATGAAAATATGAGAACATCTGCACTTATAGACATCAAGATAGAGTTTGTCATTTTTAATAGTTTCATGTGAAAATATTTTGTGAGCAAGCTAGTGTTTCTAATATTTTGGCACGCTTTTCTGTTCGCAATTTGTATTTGATTACGTTTTCTTTTCGTTTTGTCTTTTCTTATTATTAAAAGTTTTAAAACTTGATTCTGTGTATCAAAGATAATAAAAAAAAGTATAAGGTTTTTGTCAGATGCGAAAAACTAAGGTAATGTACAATAAATAATGAATAGTAAATAAAAGAAAATAATATTGTTATGTTGATGCCGTAACATTTGAACCATAATCAGTCCAATCTGTACCAGTGTGCTCAACATGACTACCAAGTAATTTATATTTATGTTTACCAAAAAGCTTAAGTTGAGCCTGTATAATATTCGCTGGTAAACCTTTTGCATGATATTCATCATAAAAATTCAAAGCAGTACTAAGGCCAGGTATTGGTACACCATATTTTGTGGCTGTTGTTATAATTTTTCGCCAACCATGTTGACATTCGTGAATAGCATTAGCACGCCACATAACTGCGATCGAACTATAATTTAAATTCCATGAATATTTTGTATCTGCTTCATGCATAAGTATAAGACCTTGAGCGTATTATATAATTTTTAATGCATATACAGCTTGACGAAGATATTTAATAATTTTTTTTAATCAACATCAAAATCTTGTACGTTGAGTGTTGATGTAGGTGGGAATATAGAGAGAGCTCACATCCACACCGTCTGCATTTACTTGCCCAAAATCATGAAGACATATTTATTGTTACCAAAGTTGAGCATTCTAGTGGACAATGCAATAACTATGATCCACATGCAAAATAAAATCTTCTGATTGAAATAAATAAGATAAATAATGACATGATACCTGTTCAAACAATGAAAGAAAAACGTTTTGAAAAAGAAACATGCGTTTCTAAAATGTGTTTTATCGTTAAATTATATCTAATTATCATTATTTTTATTTTGTTTATTTATTTCAAATTGTTATAATCAATGAAGCGATAAGAAAAAAGTATAGATATTACAACTTACTTTTCTTTCAGCAACAAGTCATTTTTGAGCTGATGTTACTGTTGTAGTTAATGCAATAGCTACATTCATACTAGATTTAATTGTATCAAGGATTTGTTCGTCAAAATTAAGATTTTCATCGAATAAATGAATACGAAGCTCAATTTTTTATTATTTTACTGAAATAATAACAGCATGGATATATATGCGTATTATGTAACTATGTAGAAAATATTTCTAGTACTGTCAAAGTTTCAGAACAGATTGATAAAGAAAAAAGTTATAAGATATAACGAATCATTAATTATTAATGAACCTTAAAGTGCTTTTTTTGATACCTTACTTATTATTTGTTCAAACTTGCTTTTTATTCAGAAAGATTCATCTTTTATTCTATAAACGATATGTTCAAATATTTTTCGAATCATATTTCAATCAAATAAATTACATGAAATAAAAATCATTTGCCTAAAAACTATCAACAACGAGAGATTTCTGCATGTTTCAGTTCAATAGAACTCCAAACGCGAGCACATTTCATTGATTGTTAGGAATCTTTTACAGTATCGAAATTGCACTGAGACCATTTCTTTTAGAGTGTGGGTGTGCGGATTTTTCTAATCAACTCACACCCATACCTTTTTGTTAAATAATTAGTTTGGCCACCACCAGCTTTGCATAGATTTTATCTGAGATCTTATATTCTTTGCTATGCCGCAAAAAAAGACAAAAAAACAATAGCAGCTAGAAGGTCGAAATAATCAAAACGTAGATTATTGTTAAATTATGTGACACTACATTTCCATTTGCTTGTTTTTCCTAATATAATTCTTGAAAAATCTCGTTAGAATTGTTTTGAGTGACTCAACATGCTCTATTCTACCATACATTAATAAAAAATGATTTGTTCTACCCATCATTCGAACATGTAATACGAAAATAATAACTGAATTGTTGTCGAAACTTTTCTCTTTATTCAGTGCTCGTCATTTAATATATATAATTCATTACTTCGGCCGATGAATATCCTCAGTTCATGAGTGCATTTTCTCAATGTTTCATGGTTCTTCTTCTCCCTCGCTCTGGTAATGGTAACGCCGGAAAGTAAAAACGCGGAGCATCGTGACTCATGTATTTCTTGTTTCGATAATGACCAATTTTCCTCATTAGATATCTGTAAAGACGGCACAATAAGAGAACAAAAAAAAAAACAAGTCACTGTTGAAGTTATGTATGACCAAGCTGTTCTCCAGTATGTGGGAAAATCTCGCAGATTACTTACTTCTATTAGAGATTTTTATTTTCATAGAGCAGAAAGACAGTTCTTCGTTTCTCGTTGACACATAAAGTACTTTGCTACGATGTATATCATGGTGATACTTTCTACCACGTAAAAATAGATAGCAGTATTAATCATTTTAATGAGAAGACAGCTTGGTACTGGGAGAAGGGCGAAAAACTTCATATCGAATCGAATGATGTCATTTTATACATGAGTATAAAACAGTTTGTTACTAGCCATACGAAGCATAAACAATATATCACCCGCACGTCATAGATAAACAACAACAGCAGAAACATTGGTAAGATCGTAGAGATAGAGAACTCAAAATTATCTAATTCATTGTTCCCAAATACTTCTCTTTTAGGATTGACCCTGAGGAGCAAAGGCTTATCCTAATCGATACATGCGTATAGAAAATCGGAACTTACACTTAGACTATTGAGTAGGTGCTTATCTTTAAAATTTTGCACCAACAAAAGTAGGCTATTTGAAAAAGAAAGACAACAGTTTTGTAAAGCAGGAAATTCTCTATCGATGAACCCAAAGTGAAATCTCTGACGTGACGAGAAGTGCCCTGAAAAGAAGGAAACATTTCTAAACGTTTCTTACGCGTCATCTATTACATAGGATAGAATAGTGCTTGATTCACTGGTAGATCAACATTACTGTAGATATATTGTACTGTCGGGAATTCTAAGTTGCTTCTACTTGAAAGCAATTCATAGTATCGATGAACACATTTATATTTTCGTTTTAGCATTATCATAAAGAAATAATATGTGTTTCATTTTTTTCCTTTTTGTTATGATTATTTTCGACGGAGACTTTGTTTCGTCTAATTTACAACAAGAAAGTGAAGCAACAGTAAATGAAGCTTCATTGGCTAAAATTGAAGAACTTTCAATTGTGAAAGCTGGTATATTTAACCGCATTCGAGGTCAAACGTTTATAGGTCGTGCTTCTATAGCAATAGTTATACAAGAAGGAGGTCCATGGGATGAAGAGAAACATTGGACCTTTTGTCCCCAGAATACATGGGCAATCGGTGCAGTCAACGTGTTGAGTCTCCTTGTGGCAAGTGTGATGATACAGCTTTATGCTTTGGAACTGATTTGTGGAGATCGTCATGGTAGCGCGGTGCAAAGAATTCGATCATATGACAGATTATGGGGTGGATGGAGTGAATCAACGTTTTGCTCTGTGTGCCGATATTGATGGCACGCTTCGATGATTCTCCTTCCTCCTCCTTCTGTTCTCTTTCAATTGTTCTAATATCTCTCTCTTCTGTCTCTCTTCTATCTCTCTCCTATATATACATGTGNATTACAAAGAAATTAAAATGAATAAAGACAAAACTACACTATTTAGAATATAGAATACTACTTTAATTTGATTGCTTTATAGTTATGAAAGTAGCACTTTATCTGTACCCATTATCAAGTAAGGAATAACGAAAACTTTGTGAGTTTAATTTTTTTGTCAAGAAAAAACCATTTTATGAGGAAAACGATTTTCTATAAAGTTGAATCGATGACTTTCAGGCTGAAAGAATTCTAAACTACAATTAATCTCTCTAAATTCTTTGGACATCGAATGCGTGTTGATGAAAAGAATATCTAAGTGTTTTGATGAAGCTTAGAATATCAGTATTATTGGATTTTCTTCTTACTGTGGTCTGCCGTACTAGCGTTCTCGTATGATTCTTCAGAATTGAATAAGACTAATATTTGCATGAGTAGTCAATTGATTTTCGTGTCCTGATCATTATGTGCTGCATTTGTCATAAGGGAAAAATCTCATTAAACATTGTCAATGAGTTTCAGTCATTTCTGACCAAAATACCTCGAAATCCTATGGTCAACCTGAAGAAATCCTTTACACCGTCTATCCATTTCTTTGCCGTGGCATGAGACCTATATCAATCGATGCAGAATTTAAAGAGCCATTTAATGAACATCTCGTTCTCTTCTGGCTAATGAGTTGTCCATATGAAAATCACTCAATAGTAGCCAAAATACCTCAAAATCCTGTAGGCAACATCAGGAAATCCTTTACTCCCTCTATCCATTCATTCGCCGTAGCACTAAACCTACTTCAATGAATCCAGAATTACAAGAGTTATCTAATGGACATCTTTGTTTCTCCTCGCAAATAATTCTACGAGAAAGAAAATTAATAAAAAGATTAGTCATTCAATTTATAATCTCAGTCATTGCAGGCCATCCGCAGCCATTCTGAATGGCTCGAAATAAGCTTTTTCCTCCTTGATTTTGCACATATCCCAGGTTGATTCATTAACAACTTTCGTGCCTTTGAACGAGCAAATATACGTCATTTTAAAATATCATAATTCCAACAAAAATTGAATATTTAAATTAGTTAGTGCTTTGTTCTTGTTAATGAAAAATGGACGACGAAGAATTGCCATCAGAATCCACATCACGTCCAATTTTTCGTCGAAATGTCCAGAAAAATATTAGTTCAACAAATGCAAATACATCAAGTGGTACGTCTTCAAAATTTCCTAATAAAAAAGTTAAATTAATTTCAACAGCACACACAAAAAAATCTACTAAAAAACCAGCAAAACAACCTGTTTCAAGAAAAAAAAAGACTTATCTTCAATCAACACCAAAAACCAAAAGATCAACAACACTTATTGATAATTCTATTAGTACAGATGATGATATGCATGATGATTATACTCAAACAACAGTACAACAATCCAGTTTAAATAATTCTTCTACACATCAAATCGACAATCATGTTGAAAAAAAAATTTGTAGATCTTAATGATTCATTTGCTAGTGGGAGAACGGATAACAATGTTTCCAATGAACAATCAGATGTGATGGCGAAAAAAACTACTCAAACAAAAGAAGATGTATGGAAATGCTTCACAAGACAAAGCAATGGAGATTTTCAATGTAATTTATGTGCAGATCCTCCAAAAGTAATATATCTGTTCTCTTTAATAAAGGGTATAGTTATTTTTTCTACAAAAGAAACTTTTTACTTTTTCATATATTCTGTCTCTGTCGTTGTTTATTAAGATGACTTATTGCACAAATTGTAACTCCCAACTCATAGCTATTTTGTTACTTCTTTATTGTAAAAAAACTTATCTAATCTCTTAGGTTTAGTTCAGATGAACTCTGATTGACAAAGTATTACTGTAAGTTTCTCGTGTAAAAACTGAAACTTGTAAAAGTTAACATCAATCTTTAGTTTATGATCATAGAAATACATCAATTTCAGTAGCTTATAAGCACAGAAGCGCTCAAGAATTGGTAAATTAGAATTTTCAAATTGCATGATTAGATTCAAAATGCCAGTAGTAATTTTTGAGGAAATAAAGATTGATTGTTAGTTCTTTACCGATTTCATACCATCAAGTAGGCAAAATAGTGAGCCTCTTACACTATTTTTAACATCAGCACATCATCTATCTGTAATATTCCACTGATCTTGATATGAATATAAATAATGACAGTTATTACAAAATTCTATTTGGAAAATTATTGAACTTTGCAGAAGTTAAGAAGAAACCCCTGTTAGATATGTACAAAGATAGTTCTACGGGACGACCACATCACACGAGGTTACACACAATTTAGAAACAAACTAAAATATTTTTTAATTATATTGAATGAAATATAAAGTTAGACTTACAGTAAAAGAATAGGAGTCTTCTAATTCTGTAGAACATATTTCAAATCTTATGAGTTTTATAATAATCGATGTCGGACTGTCTTGTACTGATTTCTATTCTTCAGTCCAATAAATATTCACGTAGTTTTTATCAGTCATTGTTCACATTTATAAGATGTCTCATTTTCGACCCTAGAATTTGTTGATATATCTGCAAACTTAATAAAAATCGCCAGTTTCGTTTTCGTACTGTGTATAATTTCATAACAAGCAGGAACATAACAAAATGATATTACTGCATGTCTAGTTCCTACGCTATTGTTCTTGGATAGTTATTTTTAAGCAGTGTGTATGCATATCTGTTTTTCAGTCGCAAAAGAGATTCATTTGTTGGTTGATATAGATCACATACAACAATAAAGAATCAGGCACAGAAACTGAGCTATAATTACTAGACAGCGAGAAGCGATGAACTAATCTATCCAATTTTTAACGTTATTTGTTATGTATTCAGGTGGGAGATAGTGGGCTTCTATTATGTTGAAAAATTATAAACTTGAAAGTGAGTTTCTATTCTGTGGAGGATTTATCTCAAATAGGGATGTTACTTTATTTCTATGTTTCGTTATAATAAATAATAAAGTAACGAAAATCTTTATCTTTATAAAATAAAGAATAAAGACATAAAGAATTCTTTATTTTTTATAAAATAAAGATAAATATAATCTTTATTTATAAAAATAAAGTTAAAATAAAGAATAAAGAAAGATTTTCTTCAGTAAATAGATAAATAGTTGATATAACAACAGGACACATTGATCGCGATTCTTGCTAATCATCAGTGATATTGCAATATGGAATAATACTAGCAAATGATGGTGAGACATAAATGATTTATGAAAAAAATCTTGTATTCAAAACTTTTTTAGTCTGCAACTTCTTAATTTTCTTCAAGCTATCCGGAGAAGATCAAATTTTGGGTTTTTAAGGAAAAATATTTTTCTTTTTTCTTTATTTTATAAAGATAGAGATTTTCATTAACTTTATTTTGTAAATATAAAGATCATCTTTACCTTTATTTCATAAAGTAAAGATAAAATAGCACCCCTAATCTCAAATCAGTCTGTTTGAGTCAAAATTGAACTGAATTGAATATATGACTAATATTTTTATTGTGAGAGAGGATCAACTTTTAATTAAAACTAAAACTCAAATCGTTTCAGTCCCTTATCAAAAGTGAAGTGACATCTGATTGAACCCCTCGTGAGAAGTTTCTTTTTCTTGAAAAAGACAATTTAAAACTAAGTTTTTTTCTCTATGTAGTAGTCTCATTGACTTTGGCGCAAGTCGGAGTGAATATCGGTACAATATTAAATGTTTTTGAAATTAAATATGACAGTTGCTAAAAAGAGTTCCTACGATAAGTCTCATTTTATAAAGAAAAATATAGTCAATCATCTTCAAGACAGGAATAAATTACCTCATATAGAAAAAACTAGTAACTGATCTTCTGACTACCTTTATTAAATCGCTTTTTTAAATTAATAACATCAAAGACAACCTGATATGGAACACCTAATAACCTCATTTTATTTTTTATAGAATCACACAATCAAAGCTACTTTTCTTTTAGAAAAAGATATGTATGAAGCTTAACACAAGTCGGTTTGAATCAACCCATAGAGTAGTTAGTGCTCAGTTTGAAGTAGGACAATAATTTCATCTTTTCTAATTGATGAAATACTTGAGAATTATTGCCTGTATATCTAGTGCAGCATTTATTCCCTCTACTGAAGGAAGAGTCATATGAAATAAAATAATTTGTCTGACTGTCGTTGGGCCAAAGTTCAAATGCTGGAAATGAAGCTTCATTAGACTAGTTTTTCAGCACAAATTGTCAGCTTTTAATAAAAAGTCTATATTTATTTTGACTAGTTATTTATATCTGCAAAGAATGACTAAAAAATTTTATTTAACTAATGTTTCTCTTTGTTTTCTTGTTAGGTATTTCCAAGAAAAAACGAAATAACTGATACAAATCTTCGAAGTCATCTTGGAAGAACACATAAATTAACCGAATTTCTTTATCCATCACAACGTTCAGTAAGAGAAACAACGTTTATCATACTTTTTCCTATTTGAACTCTTTGTCCTAGACAATTTAACGAAAATGTTCAAATAGCGATTTCGACGACCCTGAGATTCGCATCTCAGTTTTAGAGGCCGCTCTCAAGGTTATCGAAATCATTATTTTGACATCTTCGTTAAATTGTCTCGGACAAAGAGTTCAAATAGTAAAAAGTGTGCTAAACTTTGTTTCTCTTATTTTTAGAAAAAAGAACCAAAAGAATATAATGCATTTTATCACAGAAAAAAAGATTTAAATACAGCTGCTATTCAAGCAATTGTACAAGATTCTCATGCTTTTAATATATTTCATAAATCAGGAATCCAGAAATTTCTTTCTTTAGCTGTTCCCGGTTATCGGGGGCCTACAAGACAAACAGTTGCTAAACGATTGCAACATATGTATAAAAAACATCGGCAAACAATCCGTGATGATTTTTCAAATGTTTCTGATATTTCTTTATCAGCTGATGTATGGAAAACCAATCGTCGGGATCATTTCATTTGTTTGTCTGCACACTATTATGACGACCATTATCTATCACATTCGAAAATTATTGCTTTTCGACGATTTTTAGGCAAACATTCATCTGATCGAATAGAGCGGTTTATTATTAATGAAATCGAAAAACTTAATTTAGAAACAAAAATATGTTCATTAACTACTGATAATGGAAGTGATATTCGATCAGCTTCAAGAAATAAACCAATATTTGGAATAAGAATATCATGTTTTATTCACATCTTGAACTTGATTGTTCGTAATGGTCTTTGGTTGTTCGATACACCGAACAAACTAAAGTAGGCAATCTTTCATTTAAAAAAAGATACTAGCCAAAAGTTGACATAACCAAAAAATCGCATAGCCATATTAGAAGTATTATTCAGTTTATTGAGAACGGTCAAAAACGGAAATTTTTATTGATGTAGAATTTAAGTTTAAAATCCTATTGTGAATTACTAAAAATTTTGCTCCTTTGGGTTAGCTTAGGAAGAGACATTTAATCAAATACATCAATAGATCAAATGCATATCTACGTTTTTACTTGTAGAGTCTCTTCTATAACTGAAATTAACCCAAATGTTTCAGATTTCCTAAGTGTAATCAAACTTGTCTTTGAGCTATAAAAAAATAGGATAGCAAGAACATCTTTATAACAAACTTTGTTCGATCATTTAATTTTAAACTGATAATTCTACCAATTTCTCCTTTCTTTCTTGGACGTCTGCGAGATAAGCACATGATCAGATAATTATGTGATCATTTAATATTAGTTGCACAAATATCTTTTCGAATTATATCAAACTGGATTGAAAATTGAGATTTCCATAGCATATAAGAGTGATTTCTGGAATAAATAAAATCCATAAATTTGGATTTTCAAAGTTAGTTTTACTTGTTTTACAATTTGATTTACTCGAATATCTTCCGTTTTAACGTATAAAATCTTGATCAATATTTCAAAACGTCCTTGTATGATCTATGAGATTTTAATATTGAGTTAAAAATAACTGTTTTGAAGCAATCTAATTAGCCATGCTTCATTCATTTAATGAACAATCAGGTAGCACGAAGAAACAGAGGAAAAATTGGACAGATTAATTGATGGTTGTTTATCATTGCATAGGAATTAATCGCATTTACTCATGTGAAAAGTGAATAGCAACGAACTACACCGCATAGACCTTTTCCTAATTTCTACTCATTTTAAAAAGGCATATTCAAATTATTTGTATTAGATGTAATTATTAATAAACGGAGAGACTTTTGTTCACTTTACTTTGAATGAAATAATTAGATCGCCGCTAAATTTGCCTAGTTCTTTTGATCGAGTCTAATTTAAATATTTAAAAATACGATTTTATTTCCCCCTTACTTAAAACCAAAGTCGAGTAACAGCTTCACACTAACAAATAGGACGTAAAAAATTATTTGTTGCTTGATATTCTTTTAATAAAAGTGCAAGTCTTTTTTTTTAAATAGTTTAAATTCATTACCAACAACAAACATCATCACATCTACTACAACACCATCAACATCGAGCACCACAATATCAATTCCATCATCATTCACATCGAGCATCACAACATCAAATTCATCATCAATTCCATCACCATCACAATCTAATCAAACATCATCAACATCAAATCAATCATCGTCAACATCGAATAAATCATCATCAACATCAAATCGAACATCATCAGCATCAAATCGAACATCATCAACATCAAATCGAATATCGTCAACATCGAATGCTGCTAAATCTAACATATCAACATTAATATGTACTGATTCGTCAACAGATGATGATTATGACTATACAATAAATGACAGTGAAGTTACTGATGATAGTGGAAGTGATATTGCAAGTAAACATAGTGATCGTGATAGTTCCTGTTGTAGTACATCAACAGCTACATCTTCATTAAATGATGAATCAGATTTTTTATCTTCAAGTAGTACTGATGAGGATGATGATGTTTTAAATCCGTCATTGTTATCAGCAATAGATGAAGAAAAAGAATTACTTAACAAAGCATGTGTCGATTCAACAATTCTGTTATTAAAAGTTCATATTATTCTTAAACGACTTCGAAAACTTATCCGAATGATACATCAATCAAGTGTTATAAATCGATATGTTGAGAAACAAATGAAATCAAAATTAGAAAAAGAAAATTTAAATCGTCGATCTAATAACCAAAAACCGATAAAGTACAAGGGATTGAAAGTGGACATGAAAATTAGATGGAGCTCCACCTTTACCATGATATCACGTGTTTTATTTCTTTATTGCTCTTAAAAAAGATCTAAAAAATATCAAAAGAAGCAGTTATCGTCCATCTTTTCATTTCCATTTATTCTTTAATTCAAAAGGTTGTGTCAAGTCTTTTATATGAGTTCTTTGCACTGAGCTACGGAGATAATCGAAGTTTTTAGTAGTAATAGGGAAATAATGCTTTATACAAAAGAGAATTATGCCTAATGAACTGCACAGAATCAATTTCGGAGTTGTGTTCGGCATCAAATAAAACTTGCGAATAGTTCATTTTTAACATTAAAATATTTTTGAACCGTAGGTTTGTTCTCCAATATTTCCTCTACAAACTAATGTATTTCGAAGGTCCAGTTGACATCTTATGAAGCATACGAACCAAAAAAAAAGTCGAAAAAAGTCGAAGTGAAAAAAAAAACCAAAGTCAAGGCTGACTCCGACCTTCTTTTTGGTTCGTGAGCCTCAATAAGATGTCAATTGGACTTCCAAAATACATAAATTTGTAGAGGAAATAGCAGTAGGGGTGCAACAAACCCAAATCCTTGGATCTCGTATCTAATGGTTTGGATTTGAATTTAGATTTGGATTCGGTCTTCGATATCAGATTTTTTTTATCTAATTGTATTGCACCACTCGCAAAGTAGATTCTTGTTGAGGACACTGTATCTTATCAAATCCATTGGGATATGGGTCATTTGAGAACAGGCTCAAGTTCGAATCCAGACGCAAACCTCCAAATCTAAACCATATTCAAATCTAACCTTCCAAATTCAGATCCAAGTCTCAATCCCATGGCCTTTGTCCCAAATACAAATACTTTTAAGATTTGTTGCATTTCTAAATATCGGAGAGCAAAACCTGCTGCTCAAAAACATTTTAATGTTAAAAATGAATTATTTACAAGAGTTTGATTTGACGCCGGACACGACGTCGAAATTGACTTCGCGCAGTTCACGAATTATGTCATACATTGACTAGAGATCCCCATTGTGTGTAAGCAATTATTTTTATTTGAAATTGTGATCTTGCTAATTTTCTACTTTTGTTGAAGATTTCGTCATTTCTTGATCCATCAACATATCGTTTCTTAACTTGTGATGATAAAATAGAAGCAGAAACTATTATAATCAATGAAGCCAAAGCTCATTATGCAAAAGTAAATGCTAATTCATCATCATCAAATCAATCATCAACTGTAACACCAATAAATAAAAATGAACAACAAGATAATCAATCAATTTTTTTGCAAAATTTATTTATTGCATGCGGTTTTGAAGCACAAACAACAACATCAATTTTCAAACCATCAACAATAAAAGAAGAACTTGCTCAATATGTTGCAACAATTAGTTCATATCAAAGTTTCAGTCAATATTGGTATGAAAAGAAAGATTGTTTACCTATTCTGTCTTCAATCGTTCGTAAATACAACATTATGTGCTCAACATCTATTGACTGCGAAAGTACTTTCAGTATCGCTGGCTTTGTCCAGCGTAAAAATAGATCTAGTTTATCTCCATCTACTTTAAGATACTCAATGTTGTTACGTGAACAAAACAAATAAACAAACGTACTCTCTGATTTATTTTTTTGGTTTTTAATTTCGTCTGTTATTTTATTTCTCTTCAAACTTTTACTTATTCATATTTTTTATACATAAAGGTTGAAAAACGAAAGTAAAACTATTTTGATTGTCTACGTAATTTATGTATTTTAGTGTCTATATAATTTATGTACTTTTTTGTAATGAAAGGCGCGAAACAAAAAAATTCTTGATATATATTGATTTGAACATGAAATACAGGTTGATAAAAAATTTTTTTCCTTACACACCTATAAAACAATCAAATTAAAGTAGCATTCTATATTCTAAATAGTTTAGTTTTGTCTTTATTCATTTTAATTTCTTTGTAATTTTTGTAAAAATAATTTCTTCAAGATAAGAATTGGGATGATTAGAAAAATTAATAAATGTGAAAACCTCGGATTTAAATCCGAGTGTTATGTGTACTTCNGAACTAGTCCATTATGAATAGTTCGCATGAATCTTTTCATTGTTCCTAGCTCAGATTTAAATTTTGAAGTCAACTGGTTGATATTGCAACGCATGGCGAAGTGAACTAGTTGACTTTATGATTTTAATCTGAACTAGGAACAATGAAAATATTCATGCGAACTATTCATAATGGACTAGTTCATACTAAAATGTTTTAATTTTAAGCATTTCGAATTAAAACCTTGACATCATTAAGTCGCATATGAAAAAATCTTTAGGTTTGTAAGATAAAAAACACATGAGACTGAAAACCAAGAGAACAATCTTGAAGCAAGAAAAACTTTAACTAAAGGATTGGACCAAAGAACGTCACAGGACGGTTTTTTTTCGTCATGCCCTGCATTTTTGCAGGACATCTTGAAAGCCAATCCTGCTTTTCAGGACGGACTGCAGGACGTAAAAGCTTCGGTCCTGGCACGACACACTTACACGACGAAAAATATTCCTGCGTCCTGCAAGCTTTAACACGGTGTATTGTGTAAATGTGAGATATAGTATCAAGTATCATAGAAATTCTCTGTGTCGAATTCATATATGCTGATTCAACTAGTTTATATAATCAAATTCTTTCTGACATACGCGAAATGAAATGAACAAAATGTATTTGAGATTTGTAAGAAAAAAGACTCACAAGATCATTATACTGATAAAGAATTTGCCATCTTATTGATACTAAGATGAAATACAACATCAATAACGACCGCTCTGTTTCCATAAAAAAACAGAAAAATTTTATTAGAAAATCTGAATCCACGTTTTACAACAGAAATTAAGTACCAACACCCACCCCCACATACCAACACCCACACCCACACCCACACCCACACCCACACCCACACCCACACCCCACACCCACACCCCACCCTGTTTCTACATCGACCACTTAGAAGTCGCAGAAGGTAGCTTTAGATACTAGAATTTCTTTATCAGCCATGGTAAACACAAATGATAAGAAAAGTCATTAAATAATTTTCAACATCACGACCATTCTTTGTTATTGAGGTCTGCATTTCTTGAGATTTCAACAATAAAATGACATTGAATTCAACCGATTCATTGGACGATTCGATTTTTCTGCCTCGTAATTTGCCTTCAGAGCACCAGAAAAATGCCAGTATTCAATCTCAAACAAACAACATACCTTCAAACGATTACCCATTGCCAGATGTTTCTCACCGTTTCAACAAGGATGGCTCAGAGCACTTTCCAACATTATTCAGCACAGAACAAGTTTACATCGTTCTCCTTCACATCAATCCGATTCAAGATGCCGATTATGTTATCGAAAAACTTCAGCGTATTTCGCCTACTATCTTTATTTTCAATGATCAAGATGAATGTGTCGATTTTTTTACTGACTTCAACGATGCCAAAATATTCTTAGTGTTGACTGAATTCACTAATCTTGAGTTCATTTTACTTATTAACAATATCAAACAACTTCAATCGATTTATATCTTCAACACTGAACTTATCAACGATAGTTATGCAATCGGAAGTACAAACAAAAAGGTGAAAGGGGTATATCATCAAATCGAACAAATGTGCTATGCATTGAGACTTGATATTCAAAGATTGTCAATCTTATCGAATTCTCTTAATTTTCTTTCTAATGACTCCAGTGCAAATGCCGACGAATTGGACTCGTCATTCATGTACACACAACTGTTTAAAGAGATTTTTCTAGATCTCGAATACGATAGAGAGAAGGCAAAAAGAGAGTTCATCAAATTCTGCCGAGATCCTTCATCTGGCATTGATTTCAAGTCCAAAGGTGTGGATCAATTCGAAAAAGATTATCAACCAAGTGCGGCTTTGCGATGGTACACACAACACAATTTTCTCTATTACAATATCAACCGGGCATTACGAACGCAAAACATGGAAATCTTGATGAGAATGGGATTTTTTCTTCAGGATCTTCATCAAAATATCAAAGATAAAAACTCGAAAGATATGTATCCATCGAAATTTGTTGTTTATCGAGGACAAGGTTTATCGGAGAAAGATTTCGAAAAGATGAAAAATAGTCGAGGTGGTCTGGTTGGTTTTAA